CTGAATGTCTGAAAACTTTACACTCCTTCATAAACCTCGTATGGTTCTATGTGTTTTATCTTCAGTCCAGAAGCAATAGGAAACTACCTGTTGTAGTGTATTTCCTCCTGATTTTCATCCGTATGTTTTCCTCACTGATGAAATTATTTCAGCCTTTTAGGCAAACTGAACATTAAAAGATTATTTTTTTCTCCCCCCCCACCCCATTGAGATATTTGAGAAGGAGAATCACTTAAAGCCAGAAAGCAGCTTTCTATAAATACAAAGCACTTACATAAATACTGATTTTATTTATTTATTTATTAGTTTACATGTAAGCTAACAGATACCTCACTCCAGTAATACAAATAAGACATAAAGTAGAAATAATCATTGCTTTCCCCATATGTGAGCCAAATTCAGCAGTTGACTTTGTGGTTTTGTGTCTGCTTAAAGGGTGAATTTGACCAATATTCAGTGTTTTATTGAGTAAAGTTTGTAATGGCAATATATTTTAAAATTCCATTACAGTATTTTATATAGTAATGGATGATAACATGTTTGTGTTGAATCCTGTAAAATGTTTAGAGCATTTGGACTACATATGCTATTTTGACATTAGCTTGAAAATAATTGGAAATGTCTCTAAATATAAAAGCTTATGAAAAATCCTGTGTAGTTATGTCGCTGTAATGCCAGATCACTGGGTCTGGAAAAAAATTTCCTCCCAGAAGAAATAATTTCAATGTAAAGAAATTTTCAGTCATTGTCTTAAGTTTCAGCCATGAATTAGTGGGAGACCTTTCTGAACATGATCCCAGGACACTGGTTGATGATGCCTCAGTAATCTTAGTAATGTATTGCCAGTTTATAGTTAACAAATACTGTTACAGTTCTTTTAAATAGAACATGTCTGGTTGTTTAAAATGAAGTACAACTCATATCTTTTTGTAATAGGGCTTAGCTGGACCAGAAGGTAACCCAGGTCCTAAGGGTGTAAGAGTAAGTAAGCATTTTAAGAATTTTGGCATGCTTGTCTATTTTTACCCATGCACTACATCAGAAGGGGGATGAGGAATTTCATTCAGCTCTGCCAGTTGTATGCCCAGTGAATCATTATGTTTTTAGAGAATCTACAAATGAGAAAATATAGCATTTCTTTCAAAATACATGTTGTAAGCATTTCAGGTTTTTTTCCATGGTGAGCAGCATAGAGCAGTCTTCCGTTGTTGCCTGTCCTCTTACTTGGAATGCATGCAGTCAAGAGAAGGAAAGCAATACTGAATGTGGGTGTGTGAGAGCTGGGAGTGAAGAGGAGTGGATGTTTTCTGCCTGAAGCATTATTTCCATAATGGAAGCTGTCAAAAAGGGAGACATATCTGGCATTTGCAATCTGTAACGGCTACAGAAGTTGATAAAGGGAAACTGTCTTGTCACATAAAAACCTTAAAAATGATCCTGAGATTTTTGGAATGGTTCAGTTGTAGTCATGTATATCCCAGGCATTGAATGCTTTTAAATGCTCTGCTGATTCAATATTTGCTTTTGATTATTATTGGAGATAAAATAGGTTGGCTTTTTTTCTGGGTGTGTCTGACTGTTTTGTATTTTTTTTTTTTGCTTTTTCTCTTTTTTTAATAGGCATATGTGCATGCCTACACATGCGTATATATATATAAGTATTTTTTCAGGCTGACTCTCACCATCAGGCAGTAGACATGGATTTCCAGAAACTTGCATGTTGCTGGTTGCACCTAGGATCTGAAGGAGCCTTTTTCTATGTGTTTTCTAGGCGCTCAGCTTATGCTGTGCAGGTTTGCTGAGCAGTATGCCGTGTTCTCAAGTATCTATTAAAATAATCTTACTGTGTTATTAGGCTTGCTTTTGTCCTGTTTTGGTTGGTTTGTTTGCTTTAATGTAGTTACTAAAAGCCGTTACCTGCAGCAGCTTCTTAAACATATGCCTATTTTTTTTGGGTGTTTTTTTTTTTATGTCAGTTATCATTACAGTGATGGGGAAAATTAGTTTGTTGGGATCAAGTGCCAACAGATATTGCACCCTCAGGGACTGTATCTTTTACATTTCTTCAGTTTATTTTTGCTTAGATTCTCAATGCATTTGTCTCATTCTCCCCTCAACCAAGACATTAAGTGATTGTACTCGCTTCCTGAAAAGTTACTACGTCTCTGTTTACACAAAGCTAAAAATGGCCAACATATAAGTAATTTTAGGGAAGAACACCTGTCAGGTCTTAAGGCTAAGTCCTGTATATGAATTCTACAAGCAACTTCCAATAAAAAACGATGTTGCAGCCTTGTCGAGGCAGGCTACTGTGCCATGGAGGTGTATAGCAACATCATACAGTGTATCTTTAGAGCTTTAAATTTAGAACATTCCTGCAACCTATACTCTATCATCTGTTTTAAGAAACTGTAGAAGAAAAAAGTGCCTTTGTTTTCCTTGCTTTCAAAAGGGCAACCCAAAACCCCAAATCATTACAATTGGAGGACTGGAGAGAGATGAAAGCAAGGGATTCTTTTTTTATTATCTAATAATATTTCTTTTGCAATCTTGGTTTGAATCTGGAAGTTTGGAGTTCACTTCTAGTATTTTTGTGAATAGCACTACCATTTCTGCTGTGCCAACAGCATGTTTCTGTGTCCATACAACTGATCATATGAGAGGATTGATTTCTGCCTTTGAGGGGAAGATGGGAAAGAAATGCATTGTGACTGAATTTCAAGAAAAACACTTTGCCTATGACAGGGTAAACTTTCTGGGACTCTGACATATAGCAGTGATCACAGATGAGAACATGCTCTCTGATGTATTTCATTAGTAAGATTAACTTCAGCAGCTTTTTTATATTTCATTTATTCTAATAAATAAGGTCTCTAATGCAACTTTATCTTACTGGAACGCTGTCTTAGTGCTTCTTCATTAATTGATTCTATACCCTTGTAAAAGGAAATTGTTTTTCCTGTTGGTTGGAGAGTAAATCCTAGTCAGAAATTTAAGTTGGTGGAGCTTCACTGGTACTTTCAAATGAGCCTGAATTTAATCTCTGGGTATTGAACTTACAGCTGGCCAATACTGAAGGACAAACAGTGCTGGTGGGAAATAGCCTTGTAATCAAGAATTTTTCTTATGTTTTTTTTAGGGTTTCATTGGACCTCCAGGTGTGGCAGGACAGCCAGGACCTGAAGGAGAAAGGGTAGGTTTAATGGCACATTAATGAAATATTGCTGATTGGGTGGTAATGCAAGGTATGTTAGAATGGGGAAAAAATGTATGTGGTATAACCATTCATTTGAATCTTTTTCTAGAAGTAAAACTGATATGGAAGAAACTAGGGCAACAAGAAAAACTTCTATAGGTAGACTGGGGATAAAAGAAAGAGGAGGCAGAATGTGGGCCCCTCTGGAAGAAAAGGGGATACCTGGTCACCTGGGACATGGAGAAGGCTGAGGTCTTCCATGACTTCTTTTGCCTTAGTCTTCACTGACACATGTTCCATCCACACCTCCCAAGTCACAGGAAAGGGAAGGGACTGGGAGAATGAGGAACTGCCTGCTAGGTTCAAGATAATGTAAGGAACGTGAAGGTGCACAAATCCATGGGACTAGAGCAACCTGGTCTAGTGGAAGGTGTCCCCATCCGTGGTAGGGGGTTGGAAGTGGATGAGCTTTAAGATTCCTTCCAACCCAAGCCATTCTGTGATTTTATTAAACAAATAGGTTATATCTAATTAGTCTAATCAATTAAATGCACTGGTGCTAAAGTTAAATGGGGGTCAGCAGCTGTAAATTTTTATTTTAATTTAATCTAGAGCTGCAAGGATTGGTGGTATTTTTTTTTCTTACCACCAAGGGTCTATAATGAATATTTTTCATTAAAGCAATTTCATTCAGTCAGAAATTAACAATTATTTGTAAGTTGCCAGATGATGTTTGTAATAAAATCAGTTCTAGAAATCTGAATCTCTGTCACTCCATACGTGAGACTTTCCTTGCTTTTCTTAGGCACAAAGGATGTCTGGCTTTGTAATTTGATGGAATCAGGATATGGCCCTTCTTTATAGTTGTTCTGATGTGGCCACAGTGAGGACAAGCAAAGTATGTGTTTCTACCACCCTGTTATAGGACATTGTCTCTATGATTCTTTGCTAACTTTTTTTTCTATGGTGTTTCTTCTCACGACATGTTTTCCAACTAAGTGGAGGTTAATTACTTGAATTTAAGCTATTGAAGAAAAGAAAATCTACTTACGATGGGTTATTTCTTTCTCAGGGCATCCCAGGCTTCCGTGGAAGAAGAGGTCCTAAAGGGAGACAGGTACAGCTTCTAACGCTTGTTACAATTTCTGCTGCCAATGTACCTGTAATTCACTCTAACTTTAATCAGATGAAAAATTTTAGGGTTTTTTTTTCCATAGTTGACTTTTCATTGGTTCTAGTTATTACTTTGCAGTACTGAAAATTCTGTGCAGATTACAACTACTTCAGATATTCTGAAGTGGGGAAGATTTAACATGATGAGCCTTGTGGCTGGTTACCGATATCAGTTAGCTGAGGGTTAAAAGATGACAGAACACAAAAATATATTCTGTATAATTAGTGTAAGCACAAGATGCAGATATGATGCACATTTTGTAAGTCTGATTTTGGTGTTGGTTTAAGTGCAAATCAGCTGCTTCTGATGTCTGATATTTCTAGACAATGGTAAATTAAAGCTGTCCTCTACTTAACATATATTTCTACAGCTGAGAATAAACACAAATCTGCCAAGTATACATTATCAAGGTTTACATATTTCCTGTGGTATATCTTCAATGCAAAGTGCTTGTTTTCTGCTGCAGCCTTATTATTTTAAGTCTTTGAAGCTATCCAGGAGTTTCCAATTTTAACTTGCTTGTGGCTTGAGATTGAAAATGGCAGTAGCATTTCTTAGTTGTGCACTGAGTTGCACTGAGCAGTTCAGATGATTATCTAGAATGTTGAACAAGCTTCCTCAGCAGTAGTAGTGTGGCTACTATGTATGCTATGAAAGTTGCAGACAATTCTAAAACCACTCAAAAAAAGACACTAGCCTTTGAGAGAGTTCCTTTTGATATAACACAAGGCAAGCAAAGTGTCACTAAGTTGCTAGATTCCTTTTTGTGAAGCTGCTATAAAAGCTGTAAAATCAAAGAATCTGTTTTTAATTATTCAGCTAGCAGAACAGAGTGCTCCTGTGCTTATTGACCATACTGCAGTTTACTTATAATTTGAATCAAATGCTACTTTGTGCATCGGAGTGGTGAGCAAGGAGGGGTCTGTGCCTTCAATACCTTGCAGTAGTTGGCAGTGTATTGTGCTGGTGAGTCTCGAGCAGTATTTAAGAAGAAAAACCTGAATGGAAAACAAAGGCTTGTGCTCAATGTGGAAAAGGAAGAGGAGGTGACAGCAGGGTACTCTGAAAACATGTTTTGCATTATAACCTCATTCACAGCAAAGGGTTTCACTGAGGCTTCTGATTCCCAGTGTAGTAGTTTGTTTCAGTCCTGTACAGTTGGTGCTGTGCATGCTATGGTAAGCAGTTATTTTTCATTTACAATCAGATCACAACTTCTTTCAGTGCCAGGCTATGCTTTGATAAGGACTTTTGTTTATATAAATCGATTTGGAGAGGTTTCACTTGGGTGACAGAGCACCAAAAGCACTTCTGCACAATGCTCGTGATTACCTTCAGTCAGTCCTGGTTCCTCTGCAGTGTCATTTCCTAAATCTCAAGATTCATTCCAAATCTTTTCTATGATCTATAAAGTACTCATTTGAATGAAGGCTACTAATACAGGCACAAAAACAGGGGAGCAATTGCATGGGAACCTGACTTGAAGTACTGTAGTGGATTGCAAGCTTAGAGAATGTGTGTTATTTTAACCCCAAACAATGATAGCTGTGATGACAACGTCTTGTGACACAATGTCCCAGAGTTAACAAGATCAGTGCTTTGGGGCCCGGCACTGTCACTAAAGGAAATTTGGTATGCGAATTGCATATTGCCTGAAATCAGGCTCCTCACTTTGTGTTCTAGGATACAACTTATTTCTTTGGACAGAACTTCTGTCAATAATAATTCGGGGGGGGAAGTAACCTGACTACCAGAGATCCTTTTGAAATAAAACAGATCCCAAATATGAGCTCATTTTTGGAAAATAATATTGAAGTGGGTCTTGCAAAGGATTGCATACTTCAATAAGCCTGCATTTTGAATTGTAAGAGTTACTCATATTTGTAACATCTCTGGCATATATGAAATGGAACAAAATACTCAATTGCCAAAATCTTTATTGTAAAGATTATAGAGTGAGGATTTACTTGAATTTTAGATTAGATTTGCATACAATATGCTTTAAATAAAATATTTCATAAGAAAAGCGTATGTATTCAATTTCTTTCCATTTTATGCTTGTAATACAAAATCTGGCTAGTTCTGCAGTATTTTTAATGCCTTGTCTGTCCTGTTAGTATGATTCATAGTGCTTTTACATACATAGTTTGACTACATTTGGGAGGATGTTTTTGCATAGCTTTTTCTATGTGAGGTTAGTTATAACCGGTGGTCAATGTGATAGAACAGACCTTGTAAATTATACCAAAAATTTATTAATCAAGTCCATTTTAACTGTAAAAAAATGTTCTGTTTTATATTAAAATATGAATAGTCATCCTTTGTATGCTTTATAGTAATGTTAAATGATAATATTGATGTAATAAAACACCTGTTGAACAGAAAGATTATTACTTCCAATTTTGGATTTTTATGACTGTTCTCGTATGTTGCATTTTTCTTTCATTTTTCTACCAAGAAGTTTTGTCAGCATTAGTTAGAACATGCTGTTGAAAATGGGATTGTGATGATTGTGGGTAATCTGTCCATTTCGTAACTCATGCTATACTAGGTTCCTGCTGTATATAAACTGAACTGTTATGTGACCTGCTTATATAATCCAGTGCCTGGTAAAACTGTCCCACTGCATTATCCATTTCACTTTTGATGCCTCATTTGTGTGTTGTTTTTGTGGGTTTGGTTTGGTTTTTAAGATACTCATGTGTGTTCCAGCAATTCTGTCTCTTCCAATATCTACCAGTGGTATCAGTACAACCAAAATACTACGCTATTAAAGGGAGGATTGTAAATCAATCTTTGCCTACATCTTATCAAGCTTTTAACAACATAAGCACTGTCACATTGCATACTGCATGTGTGAAATATTACAGTACATCTTCAGAGCTGTGCAAAAATTTGGCTAATGGTGCACAGATTGAAAATCAATTAAATCTATTGTCATTAACCTATGAACTTCTACTTTTTAAATAAAACAGTAGTAATATAAAGACCTATACTGTCACATCTTACAATTATGGCTAAATATTCTTATTTGTGAGTTCCATGATCAGATCCTGAATAATAATTTCATTGTGAGAGACCTTCCTATCTTTTGCTTCCCTGAATTTGCAGGAGAATACAGAAAAAAAAATCCAACCAAAATCGACCAAACAGATGGTACAGGGAGTGTTAAGCATGTCTCAGATTAATCCACAGTATTGTGCATGGTGATAGGAATTAAAAGCCTATAAAGTTGTTCCAGCACATCACATGAGTTTGGTATTAGCTTCATGTGGCTCTTCCAGGGAACTAGGGAGATCTGCCTGGCAATAGTATGCGGATAAAAATAAATTTTAAATTATACAAATCACATTATTAAAAGTAATTTTTTTTTTTTTAAACTCAAACAAAAAAAAACCTGTGAAACCTAAACCACTTTTCCTAAGCAACTCGTGCCTTGGCAATGGGCATCATCAGAAAGAAGAAAAACAAACCTAATAGGAAGCAAGAAAAGTTGGAGCCAGTAAAGTGGTTGTTTAAGTCTCTAGGTGCAGAGCAAGGCAACTATTCACATTGCTAGGGACAACATTGTGCCAGAAGGATGAAAAAGTTGATTTCAAATGAACATGTGTTACACTGAGACTGCAACCGTTAATATTTGGGGAAGAGTACGGAAAGAACAAAAGGAAAGGACAATTTTAGTGAATGCTGAAGGTAACAGCTAAAAAATGGAATTAAAAATACTGACTAGGAAAAGAGACTCCAAGCAAACAATTTGAGTAATACTTGTTTAATATTGCTCTTAAAGCAGTTCAGTCATCTGATTTTCTGTTATGCTTACGTTATGTATAGTGATGTTTTTTTGGTTATGATTTTAGGAGACAAACACCGCTGTTCATCTGAAGTGTGCAGCTGAAACTTTCTGCTTCTCCATTTCCTCCATCTTACTCACTGAATCCACTGGCTGATGTCCTAATTTCTAATATCTATAGGAATTTGTGTTCAGACCAGCCTTCATGTCTTGAATAATAAAGAATGAGCTTTCTCTCCTCTGCTTTAGGGTTTTCTGGGTGACTTTGGAAATAGAGGCCCCCCTGGCCCAGATGGGAATGCTGTAAGTATCAGATTGTGTGTTGATTAGCATGGTAAAATTTGTAACACTCACTCCCCTCTCAAATGGAAAGGTGTCTTTTGCCTCAAAAGTAATGTCTTGAAGTCCACAGGAAGATCTTGGACTGTTACTTTAACATGGAAATTGCTAGGATAGAACTAAAGTAAGCAGTGGTATAAAAAAGAGAGAAAAGAACCAGAAAGTTGATGAGCGTACAGTTTCCACTGCTGCATGTTCTAACTACTTTGAGAATCAGATGTCTTGCTGTGCTCATTGCATTACTGATGAATGTTTTGTCTTCAGAAATTCTTGCATTGGGTATACCTTTGCATTGTTTATTCAAACCGTTATTCTAAGATCACCTTAACAAAATGGGATTCTGTGTGTGCGCCAAACCCGTAGTTTTCATATGCTTGTTGCGTGTGCATTTGATAGTTGATTTCATCCTTTGAACTGTTACTGAATACAATTACACGAGTATGTCATTTAGTGCATTATAATCAGTATGATAACAGCTTTGTCCTTGGCAGCATGTGCAGACTAAAGTGCTCTTGTGGTATGGTATTCAAACTGTGTCACAGTCACGTCACTTCTCTGGCTGCTCTCAAAGGAGCTTTGCTGTCTTGCTGTATTTGTAGAGAAACTTTGGCTGCGGACTCCACACTCAGGTTTCTTTCGATATGAGAAATCAATGAAAGGGCTTCAGGACAGATAAGGGAACAGCAATAATTGCTGGGCAAAAGAGCGGCTGATTTGCATCTGCTTTTGTTGGATGCTCCTTTGGAAACTGCTCTCGCTTTTTGTCTAATGGTTGTTCTGATACGGACCAGAGCCAGCAACTGGGCAGAGATGGTCTTGTTTCTGAAGGCCTGCCCTCTCCTGACACCCATCTTAGAAACGTATTTTAGAAGAGCTTACATCAGTTTTGCTGCTTGATTATTGATGTTGGGTGTCAGCATTTTGGAACACAGGAAGAAATTTAGCATTTTTGGTCGAGGCGAAGTTCCCCTTGTGAGAGTCTCAGGTGATGTCAGTATGGTGTTTTGCATCTTTAAAGCTCTCTGAGGGGTCGTGAGCATCACCAGCTGCTTTGCAAACTACATTAAAAAGTTAGTTCTTCCTTCCCTTCCTGTACTTCCAAGTCTCCCTCCATTCCTGATAAAGCAGACATTGTCTTTCCAAGCGATCTGCAGAAAAACAGGGGTTTAATAGAAGCAAGCTCTAAAAGCTTGGATCTGAAATTACAGACTTGCACTTCACACAGAAGCCTGTTTTAATCTGCCAAGACAGCTGCTGATCTTACTGCCTTCTCCGACAGGCAGCAACACCCTCTCCCTGCCTCCCCCAAAACTCACCCTGCAGGGCTTGTTCAGGCAAGGGGCCAGAGCTGCAGCTGCAGGGGGCTGCAGTGCTAATGGAATATTTACAGAGCCTGTTCCTGAGCTGGCAGTGGAGAGTAGGGGCTGCCTGGGAGGCCTGTGGTGGCAGGAACTTGAAGGGAAGACATTTCTTACCGTGTGCTGACTTGACGCTAATGACGTTTGTCTCCATGCCTAATTTCTTCTGCTTAACTGAGCAGCACCATCCTTCATTCCCACAACACCCTCTAGGTTCTCTGAGGATGTCAGTCTGCCTTGAAGGATGTTGATAGAGCATTCAGTTTCCCGTGTGGCTAGTTTGGAATAGGTTGGAGAAGGTGTAAAGGCACCAGGGGAGGAAGGAGAACACAAAGTTGTCCTCTGTGCCATGCTCAGCAGCCATGCCCTCCCTGTTGGACAGCATCGGAACGGGCTCATGTATTTGCCTAAGAATTCCCTTCACTATGGGTGCTGATGGGCTGCAGTGAACCCTCTGTATGATATCCACTTAGTAGCAGATCCCAGGTTTTGCAGCAGCCTGCGCAAAGCATACTGATCTGGAGGTTTACAATAACCCTTACACACTGACAAATAGACTTGGCAACCGTTTTCCAGAGTACTTTAGCTTCTGCTAAGTTAAACTTGAGTGCAACAGAGCAGTAGTAGAGTACTGTTGAATTTTTTACTCTTACATAAAGTACAAATCCTGCAGTTTGTATCAAGAAATATTTTTTCATAAAGAGAATGTAGCCTTTAATTTGCAAAGGTCTTTCTGTGACCTGAGGTGCTGTCCTATTTATCTTTAAAAGGAATCTTAATAAATTCTTGTTGTGGTTTGCTTGGGTTGTTTGGGGTTTTTTTCTCACCCCCCAAAAAAAGCTTTTTTCTTCTTTCCACTTTAAATGTCATTGTAAAAGAAAAAAATCATATTCCTAGGTAATGCAGGAATGATTTTATGCAAATACCTTGAGATCTGATTCCACAAACAGGGGTTTTAATAAGCCTGTTCCCCTGGACAGTAATAAGCTGTCATCCTTCAAGAACTCTCTATAAGAATTCCGACTGACTTGCTTTGCAGATCACTTTTGTTTATCTTATCACTGCGAATTTTTTTAAATGCTAAAATTCAGATAATCTAAAATTCCTTTTCTTTGAAGGGTTTTGTTGGTGGTGTTGGTCCTCCTGGATTTCCAGGGCTAAGAGTGAGTACACTTTATTACTTACTTTGTTGTGGCTTCATTAGAATATTTATCTTGCATGTTTATGAAATAATAAAAACAAATGTAGGAATCCAGGGATTTTAACAGATTTTTAGTTAGCCATGATTTTACTTAAAATCACTCTACAAAACCGCTGTCGTGTTGGTATGGAGTATTTCTAAATTTGGTTTGGATTTGTATACTTATTTCTGATCTGGTGTGTCAGGTTTTTTTATTTGCAATAGCCAAGTTTGCTAGTTTATAACCCTGAAGCCAGTATTACTTTTTGAAAAAATGCAGTACTCTCAGATATTTTAACACAGCCTTTATTCATTTCTGTGTATAGCTACCAAATTCTAAGCAGAATCAATTCCTAAACAGAATTAGTTTATCTTGTATACAGTATCATAATCAGTTTCTTTAAAAATGTTTTTAGAATGTGATGCTCATTATGGAGTTGCAAGCAGTAGTTGTATAAATACACCAGAGAAGCTCTGTGACAGGAGTGAGTCCTAGAGGAGGTGGGGAAGACTGATACTGTCATAACATCTAGTCTTACTCCCTTACTTTAAGTAAATCATGTGTTTACTGATAGAGGACCTGGATTTTTTTCTTGATGTTGACTCAATCAAGGCTGGCTACCCAGCTGTGTTCATAGTTCATAACATATGGGAGAAAATAGCATGTTTACACTTGAATTAAGAATCCATGATTGTCTCCAGTGGTGGGGCTTTTGATATCTGGAGATCTGAAACATTTTGGTAAGTTTGTTAGTTTACACTGATGGTCATCTAACTTTTCCTTTGAAGTAGAACAGTTGAGTTCCATTATTAATATCTTTTTAATGATATGTTCATAACAAAAAATATTCCTATAAGTTGTCCCTTGCTGCTTGTTTGGGATTGTTATGACATTGCTATAGTAAAGGCACACAAGCTTGGTCAGGGAACCTCTGTGGCTTCCAGACTTCAGCATGCAAACATGACTCATTGTGTTCTTGTCAGCTGATATATGCTAGCCAGTTGAACCACTCATGAGATTAGATGTTGCACTTTTGAGAATTTGCCTTGACTTATAGGTTGCTTTTCTTTCATGTGTGACCATTTATGGAATTTCATCTCAGTGACTTTAATAATTGTACAAATGTATCTGAGGTTTTTAAAAAAGCCTACTATCACTTCTAAAAAGATTCTGTTACTGATTATTTTGACTAAATTAGCCATTTTGATTCCACTGGCTATGTTGCTGAGTTGCAGTCACTAGCACAGATTGAATGTCAATAATTCTTTGTGAGATAAAGAAATAATTTTCAGCCACCACAGCTTTTGCCACTTCTACATATCCAAATATAACCATAATCAGAGCTACTTCTTCAAAGAAAAATTTGATGGCATATTTAGATTTTGACCAGCATGAAATCAATAATTGTTTTTTGCCTGTGAAGTCCATCTCCTGTTTATATGTGAGACTCTTGCACAGTTCCAGCTGTGTAAAAAAGATTATGTGCCACTGTGCTCTACATAATTTGTATCCAAAGTAAAGACAAAAAAGTAAAGCATAGAAACTGACATTTTGTACAATTACTAAGCTGATTCTTCCTGTCTATAGTTTTTAGTTTCGCAATGTGACAATTTGAAACAGACTTTGACAAGGAGTGTGCTGATATTCACACCTTTTGTTGGAATTGGAGTTTGACCCCCAGACCTGTTGGAAACTTTACATCATCTGCAACAGCTCCATTTGACTGCAAGGAATTAGGGGTCTTTTATGGAGAGGAGAGCTCCTCTGATCCCTAAACTTATGTGTTTGTAGCTGAGGTGCATGTATATAGGCTGAAAACCAATGACATTTTGGAGGCAGAGATAGTTTTGCCAATGAGCTTCTGGTCTTAATGTAGTTTAGTCCTTGGGGTGATAAATATGTGAACAAAAATAAGTATGGACAAATTCTTACGATATAGATGTGTGGCTCCATAAAAGTAGTATCATTGTACATCCTTCTGACAGCTTAATATATCTTTATAGATATATTAGGGTGGTTTTAAAGTTATCTTCTTTAATTTAGCCAAGACACATTAGCATTGCTCATATGGGGTGGTTAACTCTCTCTGGTAGATAAGACCTTTCTGGTACAGTAAGATTTTGCAGTTGAGGAAAATGCTCTAGCAGCATTTCCGCCATGTTCCTGAACACTCTTTGGGAGTTTCCAAAGCATCAGCAATTCTAGTTGGGATTTTGAAATAAGGTCAGAACATGGCTAAAGAGGACTTCAGTATCTAGTTCATGAGTCTTTTGTGGATACTAATACAGTGTATAGGCTTCATCAGTAAAATTTACTATCATACATTCCTCTGTGGCTCTGAATTACATCGTATTAGTTACCCTGGTTCTCACATTCCCAGTCAGTAAGATAATTGGAAGAGCTGTGCTTTGTTCCAGAGTTTCTTTACAGGGGACCATTGCCCTCTTTAAACTATAGCAGAATTTCGCTAAGACTTTTGGGGTATTTCTGGTGACCCTAAAATCCCCAAGTACAGCTTGCGTAGTACAGCCCTGTTCCTTGACCACCCCTGCTCTCCAAATGGGTTTGTGCACCCTGGCCTCTGTTTTCACATGGCTGTTATTAGGCAGATGCTAGTGGTCATCCAAAACTGCATAAAGAATGTTTGTTCTGAAATACTTAGTCAATTATAACACGTTATACTGTTACAAAATGCAGTATTGAACATGAGATTAAATATATTATTCTGTCAGACAACAAAGCATTAATTCAAGTAGCTCGTCCAGCCCAGCTGTATGCAGTGTCAGGAGCTAATTGTATTTTCGTGTTTGTTCATGTGAACAATGGCAAAGTGAGCAGCATCAGCAAACTGAGACCAAGAATTCCTTCCTTCCATGATTTTTACAATATACAAAGCTGTTGCCAAGCTCAGGGTTTTGGCTGGGTGAGCAGTCAATCTCTCAAAGACTTGCAAGGCCATGAGTTTTAGTAAGATGAACACTTTCAGAAAATTTACGACTAAAGGTACCAGACCTATCTTCTATTGTTACTTCTTTTTTTTTTTTTCCCCGCCTTAAAAAAAACCCAAACACACCTAATTCTAGGAAGCATTATTTTTTCTTTTTTGGGATCTTACGTTTTTGATAGGTAAAAGCAATTTGGTTTTAGTTTCACCTGTCGCATAGAAATGGTGGAAAAGGTATGTTTTATGTAGCTGAAAAGACTTCTTTATTTTCCGTCTGTCAGCAATCTGATAAGCATGGGCTGACACATAGCACGGCAGTTGTAGACAGAGGATGATTTAAAAATCTGACATATTTACTAAATAAACCCTTTTCTTATCAGTGAGATTATTTTTCGGTTGTTCCAGTTCTTTACTTTTATTTAGGTCAGCTAATATCCCTGGAGACTGTGACAGGAGCTTCATCAACCTGAATTTTGTAAAACTCTTTTGGAATTTCTTCCCACTGCTTTTTTAAACTATATTTCCCAGCTCGGCATCCCTCTGTGATTTTTCAGTCGATGCTAATTTTACCATAAAAATGCATTTCAACATACAGTATCATTAATACAGAAATGCTTATACCTAGAATATATGGCACAATTAAGAGACAGCAATGTAAACAATTTATCTTGGCATCAGCTAATATGACAGAATATATCATTTAAGCAGTCATGAGAGGCTAAAGCAATATAGAGCTGCAAGTTTCTCTGGAGCTTTAGCAAGCACCATTGAGATGCTAAGTCATGAGTCTTCCTATGAGTCTTCCTTTTTCTTCAGTGAGCCATGAGCCTGGTGATGGCTGCAGAAGACTATTTTTGCTAACATTGCTGAAAGAGTCTGTAGAGAATAATGAATGCGTGCTGAACTGGAAATCAGTAGGTGTCCATCTCATGTTTTCCATGTCACTCTCAGCAAGTGGCAAATGGTTTATGTATTCATATTTGTTGCTAAATGCTTGCATAGCCACAGAGGTATAACACTGCCTTTTTTTTTTCTTTTTATTTTAGTTTCCCCAGAGGTAGAATAGGCAGAAAGTAGATTGACTTTCCCCTCTGTAATATAGTTTTAACTGTGGCTAAATAATTTTTTCTGTGTAGCTCACCATTTTTGGGCTGCATGGTCTAGTGTGAGGCATCCCTGCCCATGGCAGGGGTTTGGAACTAGATGATCTTAAGGTTCTTTCCAACCCAAACCATTCTATGATCTTTCATTAATTGTATTGGTGTTGCTGTGTTGATCTTATAAGATTCTTAATTTTCTTAATTTCTGGTTTATGTTTCTTTTCCAGGTCATAAAACTGTCCATATAAATCCCAGAAAGGAGAGATGTAGTAAGGGCTTTGAAGACACATGAAAACAGAAAAATTTAGCATGCTTGTTAGAATTTAGGTTGTTTGCACATTTTCGATATTTCGAAAGAATCCTTTTTTTAATTTTTTAACTTGTAGAAGTGACTGAGAGATGAGAGACCCCAGTAAAAGTCACTTTTTATGACCCTACTCATGGTAGAATAATTCTTTCAAGTGAAATAATTTGATGCTTCCAGAGTAGTGATGTCATATAACCCTGAGGACACAGGGAATAGCTACCGAATGTGCAGCTGCAGTACAAACGAAAGCTTCCTTATTCTGAATTGCCTAATGCACTGCTATTTTCTCCTGAATACATAAGCTACAGGAAAAGAGGGAAGCTTGATTTCTTGTGTTTCTGCTGATGTGGTTGGGAACTGTAAAGGTGGAGGGCTTATAATAGAGATACCTTTTCCCCAAGAAATTAGCCTGAAGATGATTCTGGTTTCTGTCTGTGGTGCAGAAAATGTCACATTCTGTTACCAGTCTTCAAGTTATATCATTTCATCAAATGTTTAATGCAGTCACCTTTCTTGCTGTCTCATAGGGAGGCATTGGGCCAGCAGGACCAAGCGGACCATCAGGAATTCCAGGGCCCATGGTATGGTGTTAAACAATCGCACAGCCTGGTAGCTATTCTGCTTTCCAAATTATAGACAAGCATTGGATTTTTGTTTTCTTCCTTTTAATAGGGTCTCCCAGGGAGTGTGGGACAGCCTGGAATGAAAGGTGATAAGGTGATTTAAATATTTCCATTATCTTAGAGATGTATAGTTCTTTCAGACTACTTTCATTGAATCTTGAGCAAAATAATATATTTGACAAAGCCTTCCCCTGTTTCTTTTGATTTCTCTTCCAATTTTTATTTTTTGAAATTACTTCAGTCTCATGATTTGGTACTTCAGACAAACTTACTTCGGGACAGAGCACTTACTGCTGGGCATAACAATATCCAGTTTCCTGGAGGGGGTGGTTTGGTGGAACATCTTGCATTGTCATCCAAGGATCTGTGTTAATTTTAAGTAGTAAATATTGGATTAGTCTTTCTCATTCTCTAATTCTGATAACTACCCCATTTTAAGCCAGATACATATGTAAGTATAAAATAATATATTGTTTAGGGTGAACATGGCCTTGCAGGAGAGCCAGGAGACCAGGGGTACCCAGGAGACAAGGTAATTTATAATCGCATTGTTTTATAAAATTGTCCAATTTCAGCAACTTTGTCAGGCTTCTGAGTCTCTTAAAATGCAGCAGGTGAGTTGCATAAAAGCAGAATGCAGTAGTAAAAGTTACTGGATACCACTAAATTAATATATTTATAAGAAATGCTGTGCTAATTAAAACTTAGCTCTGGAAAGTAGTGAACAAAGATGACTAAAGGGCATGGGCAGAATTCTGGCTGCTCATCTTTGTGTTCAGAAATGCATCAAACAAGAAAGGAATTATGGTATGATCTGAAACCTGCTAAGAAACTGTTGTAAAAGATAGTTTTCCCTTCTGCAGCTCACCTGGACCAGCTGTGGTTAGCAGCAGCATGTGGTCTGGCATGCTCCTTCATATCGTGAAACGCAGATAAATACGTTTTTGTCTTTGGCTAGTACATCAGAAGTCACTGAAATAGCACATCCTGTGAGAACTCTTTTGATGGAAGTTGAATGTTACAAAATATTTCTTATCCTGCAGAATTATTTTAAAGTCTGTTTCAGGTGGCAAAGTGTAGCAATCTTTTGTTTCCAAAATAACGTAACAATACATTTTCATGTGTATTTAATAGCTTTTGCTTTTCAGGGTGCTCTTGGTTTACCAGGACCCCCAGGGATCAGAGGAAAGGCAGGACCCCCAGTAAGTTTGCACATCAATTTTTGTTCTCGACATATCACTATATATTGTTGTTACATTTGATCTGCTTCTTTTTGGCGTATAATTAAGAGCAGCCAATACTTAATGCTTTTAAAGAATTAATCACTCCAGTCTCGATTTTCTTACGTGCAATCAAGCCACTGTCTGATAAACCTACTAAGACTTCATGAATGTGGTAGGCACTTAAACTCAATTAGAAAAATACTTTTTGTCCCAGAGAATTTATAATATAAACATTAATCCTGCAAAAAAAAATCACACAGTTTTGCTTAAGCTTAGATGGAAAAACTCAGCCTTTTTGCCGTTAAAGAAATAATAAATAAGTCAGGCTTTAATTTTACTCAAGGAACACCTAGTTATGGCAGCAGCAAATTGGAAGAACAGATAATTTAGAGAAATGTTTAGGTCAGTTTTTCAGTGTGTCAGTATTTTATATAATGAAGTCACTGTAACATGTGGATAGGGCCTAATTTTACTATTAATCACAAAACTGCCATTTCTTTGGCCGTTGTTGGATACTTAAACCATGTAGGTAGGTATGAAAACTAATACCCGTAACAGGTACTTCCTGGACTTTTAACTAATATGTGATATTATTCTGAAAACTGCTGTATATTTAAAGGCAGTGTTATATGATTATTTGGACCATCCCAAAACTCCCAATTTATTTGTCTAAAGCTACTTAGCATTTTTTGTTGTGAATTCAAAGAAAGGCGATTATAGAATTGCCTATTTAGTGGAAAAGTCATCTGAACACTTGCTGTCTTTCTTTCTGATAGATGTTTTATTGTTAAAAACAATTATCATGAAAAATCTAACTGCTTGGATTTTTTTAAGGGGAAAATTGGAGATCCTGGATCCCAGGGACCGTTGGGTCCTCCAGGACCTGAGGTAAGAAATTGCTTGATAAAGGTAAATTAAATGTCATTTAGTTCTAAATTACAAAAGACAAAGGTAAATGGGTTTTCTTCTCAGAAGATTGTTGTCTTTGTTGAATTAAAAAATACTTTTTATTCAGTCATATTTAATAACTGAATAAAAAAACCATCCAATTCTCCTCCATAAGGTACAAAAGATTCTACATCATAATTTTTTAATGTAAAATATTAATATACAGGATCTTTGATTACAAAGTAGTTCCTCATTTGCCTATATGATTAGGAGTTGCTATCTTTTGAATCCAAGTGTTGTGGATTACACCTTGAATGAGGCTCATTTGATTTCTCGCTCATATTTCCATTCATGAATTCTACAGGATGTTTACAAATGGGATTTTCCAAGCCTGGTTATATATTTATCTCTTAGACAATAACTGTATTTGCAAGGAATGTAAAAAAGAAACACCAGTTACATAGGAAGCAGTGCCAAGCTCTTGAATCTCGCAGTGCAGCTTACTAAGAATGGTATAGTACTATGGAAGTCTGCACAGAAACTAAGTCAGTCTCTACGTTGTTCAGTTTAGGTGCTTTTTGTCATTCATACTATGGGCTCTAGGAAAAAATGCTGTGGGCTATACAGGAAAGACATACGCACACACAGACATGCATATATTTGCTGGAGAGATGAAAGCAAGATTTTTCTTTTTAATCAGCCTCTTCTAAAGGATGGTTTGGGGGGTTTTGGTTTGTTGTCATTTGTTTTGCTTGGGGTTTTTTTTGCCTGCCTTTGTGTGTGTATGTGGTTCGGTTGTTGTTGGTTTTGGTTTGATTGGTTTGTTTTGGGAGGGGATTGTGGATTTTTTTTGTGGGTTTTTTGTTTTGGTTTTATTATTGCTATCTTAAATATATCTGGAAGATATTTATTAGCAATGATGATTATTCTGGCCTTATAAGATACAGTAACTCTGAGAGCATATCTTCTCAAACCAAGGCTTTGTATCTCTACCTTTAAGTGGGAGCCCAGGTCTCCCTGAGCCTCAAAGAGCAAATTACTGGGTTTTATTCATTTGTTGTTACAGCTCATCTAAATCCTAAAGAACACATTTTCCTGCTAGAGATGAGCCTTCACTGAGAAAAAACGCACTGGGAAATGTGTTGTAGCAACACAAGATTGTATTTTCAGAGTAAGCTCGTGTTTTAGTCAATGAGTGTATTTTTGTGCCCTTGAGTTAAAATGAAAAAAGCACAAAGCCTGTGCATGCTGCCCACAGCTGCCTCCCCCTGTGGCTCAGGATTTTAGATTTTGTGAGCTCATTTGACTGTTTGAACCCACAACGCCTGTGCTCACTGAGTACGCTGAATTATGTAATGCTTATTGTTAACATGAATTAAATGAAACAAGGTTTTAACAGGCTTCCACATGTATTCAGAATATTTTATAGATAAATTTTGCTCTGCAAATCACATTAAATTATCCCCCAAGAATGAAGGTGATAGTTTCCTTCAGATGTACCTTCAGATGTTCTCTGAGTATTATAAATAGGTTTCATCTGGAGCAGAGGGAGCATTAGTCATAATCTTCAATAGAACTTTTTTCATCTGTGCAGTATTTTGATGTGAAGTCTTTAGCTTATTCTTTCAGGAAGGTACTCATATGGGATTCAGCTGGTATGTTTCATGCTCAAGGCAATGGGATTACAAAGGAAAAGGATACATTCAAATAATAGTTAAACAATCAAAAAGGCACATATTTTCTAAGTGAATCACTGGCTTGAGTTGTTCATTGTTATTTTTAATGCATGTTTTCTCTTATCACATGATGTTCTGAGGTTGTGCAAACAATGCTGTGAGTGCAGTGATAACATAGCTTTCTGTTTCAATATTGCATCAAATGACTTGCGTGCAAATGACTTGAAGGAAATATAGAAATAAAGCAATTTTATAGCTTACGTAGTTGCAAGTTCTGGCATACATCTGAAGAACTGTTCCTGCAGAATTGCTCATAATTTCTGATTGGCTTTGCAGAGATTCTTTGGTGTTCCTTTCATAAATTTTATTTGACATGTCTATCTCTTTCTGATTTTTTTTTGTTCTTTCTTCAGAAATACGTATTAATTTTGCAGAAATAGTCAATTTACGGTAACTTTTTAATAATATTGAACAGTGCTTGTTTGTGTGACCCTCCTGTGTTTTATATTTTCTTCAGAGTGATTATGATAATGCAGTCTGTGCCTGTTAGGTCCTAGCCTGTTTCCACAGACCTTCATTAGGTGCTTTGCATAGAATTTGTTGTCTTGGAGATTTTCCTTTTTCGGGCAGAGCTGTGGTGGGGCTTCACTACAGAAGAAGGGACATGCAGATAAACAAAATTTGATTTGTGTTGCTTCACCATGGCATTATTTAACTCCTAATGTTCTGAATCTGCCTAGAATAAGGCAAACTAATATTTAAATGTTGGGGTTTTTTTAATTTGATTTTCAACACCTGCACTGCTTTTAGGTGTTAGAAGAAACAGTAGTCTTGCAAATAAATTGAAATCTCTGCCTTACTTTTTTGGTCTGGTCTGATCTGCATGGGCAGGCAGTTGTTAGCAGCATAGAAGCAATGTACAGTAAAATAATCCTCCTGCAAGAGAACTCAGTTAATTTTGCACAATGATTATATCACTGACTGTTAGTTACTAGTCTCTTTTCTAAGGCTTAAAGTTAGGAATACTTGATTTTCAAAATGCACAGAGTTGTTCCTGATGATATTGCTCTGTACTCAGGCTTTGCCTAACCCCACTGTCTCTTGCATCATTAGAAGCATGCCTGAAAGATGACCTGTTCCTCAGACCTTAGTAATTTAACTGTTATTGGAGGATTTGTAACAAAAAAAAAATTATGATCCTGAATATTTTAAAATATATACATAACCTGGTATTTCTGTGCCTAAAGAAATGCCCATGCTTGATGCTTGTTTTCACCATAAGAACAATGCTTAGCATCATGATATGTATTGGAAAGTTCCACAGAAGTAGCTGTTGATGTTGAATGACCGGCTTGATTTTTGGGTCTTGTGAAAGTAATTGATCAGGTGGCTAAACTGTCCCTGGGCTGTGTTTGCCCAACAGACCACCTCTTCTGTGGTGCACCCAGAAATCTTCAGGGCAGACAGGGAGGGAGAATGTTATATAGAGTTCAACAGCAAGTGTAGCTCTAACCAAACTGTGCCAAGCTCCCTCTGGAAATCCTGTCTGGTTCTTCGAGTGGGTTTAAACTGCAGTTCTTACCAAAGGAGCTCTTAGATATTTCATGCTGTAGATTTTCGGGATGCTTCAAGACTTGGTCCTTAATATGCTGGTTGGTGACTGTGCTGGTCGGTCAGATGAATCGCCAGCCACTTTTGCTGTCAAGCAGACAAGCAGGTCTGTGAAGGATATGTTTTGAAAAGTTGGTGTAGGACCTTGCTCACGCTATAAAATAGATACTTGTTATAAATACAGACATTCTAATGTGTGTTTCATATAATATGTAGATGCAGTAGATGGCTTTAGAGTATGATGCATCACATTTGGGAAACAGGTGACTTCAAGTCCCACAAGAAAATCAGTCACTAGTGTTTTGGTGTGTGTGGCTGAACAGATCTGCCATGTGCAATTAGACAAAAGCACAAAGCAACATCAGCATCAGTTCACTGACATCTTAGCAGCATTAAATTGCAAAGCTTTCCTGTATTGTGTGCTGTAATCTGTGATTGCCCTTTTTCTATTCTTTGACAAATTGCGATTGTACAGTTGTAACTTGTACTGTTAGATTCCTTCTTCCACCCTCTCCAAAATCAGAATTGAAGTTTTGTACCAAAACAAAAAATTGAAGTTTTGTCTCTGCCCTTTAAGAATGCTGGCATTAAACTTTGGCTAAATTGGCACACACAGAATAAAGCTCATTTCAAATCTTTTTTTTTTTTTTCTTACTGTTTTCCACTGTACTTGGCACATTATTGAATTGTCATGCAGTTGGACAGATGGCAAAGAGCAAAGTCCTGTCACTGTATGAATACTGACATTTCTAAAATTGCGTAGAGAAAAAATAGATTAATTGAATTCTATCTATGCATAGCATGAGTCTTCAGAAGAATAATAAACACTTTTTATTTGAGAATACAAAATCACAGATTGTTTTCTCAGTTTAGAGAGATTGTAGTTTTATGCAGAAATCTTCCTTTTATAAGTTGATAGTAATTAGTAATAAAGCACTTAATAAGGCATCTTGAAGTTTAGTGGCTACATCCAGTCAGTATTGCTTCTGAAAATTCATTTTGAATTCTCATTCCAGTGAAGCACAGCATGTGATTGAATGAAATAATATTTGAGCAGGGAAACTTGGCAACTGAAGGGACTATCACAGTTTGTGGAGAGGTTTTTGTGCCATGGTACTCTTCCACCAGTGCTCATGTCCTGATCCCATTGAGGACTCCTGAGGAGCTAAGGGGCAGAAGGGTTGGTGACGAATAACAATGCTGGCTAATGTCATGTGGAAACAGCTTGGAGCGAGTGGGATTCTGCAAATGTAAGAGAATTCCTAGTGGAAATGGAGTGTAATTTCCAAACATCTCTGATACTCTGCTTCCTTATTAGCAGCCACCTAGGAAAGCAAACAAAAGGGAAGCAGCAGCTTTTGCAGATCCCTCATCTCTGAGGCACTGACAGAAAGTCACGCCCTGATGTATTAACAGTCTCATCATCTCTGCATTTTTTGTTTAAGATTATATAGGTAAATGAAAGCAATAAATATGTTAATTTTAGCAACACTTTTACAGCAAGGTTAAAGCTCATTTGTATTGAGATAGCTGGTACTTCCCTTTTTTGTGACACCACCTCTAGTTTTATTAGACAGCGCAAACTCTGAAGTGCTTTGCTGGCTAAAGGCCACATCTGCAGCATGAGTTTTAAAATTATTTGTAACTCACAGCTGCCTGGCTTCTGGCTGTTGGGAAGATAAGAATCCAGACTTTGCATTCCCTTAATAGAAGCCATAATGTTGAGTGGTGCTTGGTTCCAGACAGCCACTGCTGAAAATTACTTTGCAGCTGGAAACTATACATTGATCACCTGGCCTTTCACTTCTGGAAGAATAATGAATTTTTAATCTGGAGTAGCTTCACAGGGAGCTGGCTGCTGAATAACTCTTGGCAAATTCAGGTAGAGGTAGATATGTATACCACTTCCCTACTCAGAATCTGAATGGCAAACACCATTGCTGAGGTGTTTAAGACTTCCTTTCTGGTTCATTCATTTTTCTGGAATGGTTTTAAGTGGCTGTGTCCTGGATTATTACAGTTATCTCATGTATTATTCATGTGATTATTCATTTCAGCACTTGGAAATAGTGTTCTAATATTGCCATAGCATCTGCATTTTCTCTGTGGGAGTGCTTCAGACTAGAAGACTAAATCCAGCTTAACAGCAAAGACAAAAAATACGAAGATTTTAAACTTTTGCATAAATTGCTTATGCTGGTCTCAGCAATAGCCCTCTTCATCCTAATACTTTGCCTGACATGGAAAGGTTTCCAAATGTCATGGTTGTTCTAACTGTGATAGTGCTTGTCAATGCTCGTATTTCATAGTTCATAAAATCATAGAATGGTTTGGGTTGCAAAGGACCTTAAAGTTTCTCTAGTGCCAACCCCCTGCCATGGGCAGGGACACCTTCCACTAGACCAGGTTGCTCCAAGCCTCATCCAACCTGGCCTTGAACACTGCCAGGGATGGGGGAATTCTTACTGAATTACTTGTAGAAGTAACTCTGCAAATAAAATCGACATATTTTGTTATAGTATTATAAGAATTGTTCTAAATAGACATTTTTCTTGACAGACTGTGTTCTGGAATGTTTATTGCCTGAAGAGAGATGTCTCTGGGTCAGCATTTAGCACTTCTTCACACGTTAGAAAGTCAGAGATTTACAGATGCACAAAGCAACCCACCCATTGGTACCTATTTAAGTTTGGTAAATAAACAAATTTAAAATTAAGAAAGGATGGGTTAGCAACTTCCAAAGAATTGTCCCAACTCTTCAGTGTATTTCAGTAGATAAGTGTGGTCAAGATTTAAAAAATCCCATTTTGAACTGTATATAAATCTAGGCTGATAAAAGCAAGTACTTTAGGTATCAGACTTCAGATACCGGACTTGGGCACATGTGACTAATATGCTCTGTGCCACCTAGAGGCACGCTGAGCTGTTGCACAGCTCTACTAGTTACTGCTTTATGGCAAAAAGAAATTACCACCATGCCATTTTGTGAAATGCTGTTATAGTTGTTCTGCTTATTCTGAAAACTCAGATGAGTTCTTTTTTACTCTTCAGTGGTTTGCTTTAGTATTTATTAGCATTCAAGTGCTGAAACTTGGGAGTTTTGGGGGGTTGGGTTGGTTTTTGTCTGCTGTTTTTTTAAAGAAAGCACAATTCAGTATTGTTTATACATTTATTTTTTTATTTAATATATACAAACATCTAAAATGTTTGCATCCCATCTAAATTTCTGCTTTTAAGTCTCTCTGCATCCTGTTAAGAACAGGTTGTAGAAAGCAAACAAAAGAAAGCTCTACAAGTAAAACCAGTCGTGGCTTAAATACTTCTTAAATTTTATTATGATGTGGTAGCTGAGGGTGAGATAATATTTTCTTCTAAACTTCTTGCTTTAGTTTGATTTCTCTTTACCTTTTTGGTAAAGTTTTTTTGTGATGCATGTCAGCTAATTATGAACAATCATTAGAAATTATTATTACCTGTATTTGAAGCTCAGCTGTTCTGGAAGAAAAGTATGGTTATCTACTATCCACATAGTGAGACTTTTTTTCTTTTTATTAATACCATTTCCCTGCTTGGAGAACCTAAAAAATGACTCTTGAAGCTTTAGTGATGACATGTATTAGCCTGCATTAGTATGGAAGGGTGCCAGAGAGAATTTCATGCTGGAAGTTCTTTCTGAGATATTCTTTAAATTGTTCTGAACAATTGAAATGTTCAGATTCAGATGCTTTCATTTCTGTTATCTGAAAAGTATGCGGGCAAAAAATGATTATAGTTTTTCATTTACAAATATTTTCTGTTAAGAAAGCAGGAAGCTTGTTTTTACTAGTGTTAGGTGATGGATGTGCACAGATGTAGTAATAAATATTTTACTCAGAGGAAGAACTTTTCAGAGGCAGTCTTTCTATTTTCAGATAGGCAAGATTTAATGACACTTAAAAGTTTATTGAAATAACAAAATCAAGCACTGTCTTGGCAGGTGACTGAGCCCTGTGCTAACTGAAGAGTTATTTGCCAATACTTTCCTTTATCCTACAAATAAAACCATAACATTTCTGAGCTGAAAGTTTATGAAACTTAACTCACTGTTGTATTGCATAAGGTTTAGCTGCATCATTTTTGTTTCTTTAAAATACACTTACTTCTTATAAAGCAGTCTAGTTTTAGTACTGATTCCTCTGACATAGAGGCATCCTCACAGTGTCCCTCTCACTGCCTACTGGCCAAATGGTTTGGGGTGATAATCTTAGCTGATTCATTTTCTTTGCATATTCAGTTTTTCTTTACCAGCAGCTGGACCTATACCACACACTATTTCACAAAGCTTATTCTGAACAATGCTACATGATGGTGATCTTCAGTTACTGCCAGCCAGACCTGGATTAGCACCTGGTGATTTAGAGGCAAAAAGCTTTCTACCCTTTGCTTAACTGTGCAGTGATCTTGTCCTTAAAGTGCAGCCAAAGATTAAAGGCTTTCAGCTGCTCTCTAAGCTTTTCCTAAAAAATAGTTGAATTCATGAGTACAGGACCTGGTGCTGACTGCTCTGTGCAGGGGTTTTTTTGTACATCAAGACCAGTCCAGTAGTTTAATTTCACATGTTACCATGTTACTTAATGCATAAAAGGTCTTACGCTAAGAGAAATGAAACCCATACTGACATCCGCTAAATTGAGTTTAATGAAAGCTGCCTACAAATCTGTCATTTATCCAAGTCCTTTCAAGGAATCTTAATAGATTTTGACATTTTGGGGATGGTAGAACAAATTTATTTCTTGGGTTTTTTTGTGATTCAGGTTTGTGAAATGAATTAACAATCTAAAGAAGTATATTGGAAAAATTCCTATTCTGGAAATTATTTGTATGTATGATTTCTTTAGGGTTTTCCAGGAGATATTGGTGTACCTGGATTAAATGGCCCTGAAGGTCCAAAGGTAAGATTATTTGACAGCTTTTTCATATTAACAATAAACAGTATAAATTTCTGAGGAAAAGATATGAGAGGTGCACACTGGCATTATGAGAAGCTAATCTTACTGTCAAAATACAAATACTTTGCTTCAGGTATTTATATGAGGAAGTTAATCTGATGTTTAATGCTGTTATGAGAGTAAAATTACCCTTTGTTAGATGGAAGCATGTAATGGCAAGTTAAGTGTAAGGCCATTGGAAGAAAATACTATGAAGCTAGAAAGCAGCACCTATGTTTAAATAAAATGCATGCCAAATGCGGATTTCTGTAGTCTCACTTGAATCATACAGACTTTTTTAAAACAGATTTTGAAAGAAATAGTAACTAAAGATATGGAAAAATGGCTAAACCTCACATACCAGATTAAATAATAGATTAAATAATAATAGTTGATAAAACTGTCTACCAGAAAATGATTGTGCCAGATTAACTCAGCTTCTTTAGTAGATTAATATTTTAGACCAGTCTTGGTCAATAATTCACATATCTGCAGTTTTCAATGAAGCTTTGGATAAAAGAGTATAATGATAATTTTTTGTTTAAAATGGGAAAGGTAGAAACTAGTACAAGAACTGCAGATGGGTCAGAAATTAACCCAGAGAAAGATGATTTAATAATATCTGAAGATGGGCTACTTGTTGTTGAAAGACAAGCACCTATTAAGTTCTTCACTCGCCAGCCTTGCAGCTATTCTTACAGGCACAAGTATGATGGAACAAAATTTGTATATGAAGCAGAATTGAGCATCTTCAGATGATCTTAAAAACTGCACTTTGTACTAATTCACCCCACTTCTGTTACTTCAGACTGATACATGCAAGGACTAAAGCAATAAATCCTAGTGTAAACTTAGCACTTTGCACCTGGCAAGAAGGAAGGACACTGCCAGATCTCTCTGAAATAAAAGCGCAGTAAGGCAGTTAGAAATTAAGTGAAATTCTAGAACACATGAGGCAAGGTGCCACTGCACGAGGCACAAGAAGACTTTATCTAAGTAGTACGCACAGTTCTGGGCATTCATGTTCCATAAGGACTCAATCAAGTTGGACTAGATGCAGAAAAGAATACTTGAATTACTGTATTCTGAGAGGCTGTTCATTTATCCTACCAAAATGAAGGGCCTTTTTGATCTTTGTAAGTAAGCCAGAGTGCAGAAATTGGTGAGGCAAAAGAACTGTGCGAGACCAACGATATCATTAGTCTGAAGTCAAAACATGCAAGTTTTCCGTAAATAAACAGAGATGGAATTTGCAAGTGTTCCCATCAGCAGAGTTGTGAAATTCAGTGGCAGGCTACTCAAGAAAACACAGGACAGGGAACAGTAAATAGTTGAAAGATAGGCTTATTTGTACCTGGAAAATTGTAACAATCCCTCCAGGCCAAAGTTAATAATTCTCAAGAACATTCCAAATAATCCAGTTGCCAAAGCCATAGCCAATCTTTTCTGCATCTCATATTATTCAACTGTGTCAAGAGCCTTGTCGCAGAATAGCTCAGACATCCATTTACTAGGAAGGCTGAGAAATTATTGTCTGATGTGGCAAACTGCTGAGAAGTTAAAATACATTTCCAGAGATGGGTATGGTCTTTTTCTTCGGTTCTGGTTTATTGTTTTGCTAACTTGTTTGTATGTATATGTGTATAATATTAGTAGCATTACATGAATGAGTTTTATCTGACCATTGCAGTGGCAGTTGCTCCTGTATTTCTGAATTACCAGGGCACTTAAACTTTTGACGTAAGACTGTGTCTAGGGTCAGGGGAAACAGAAGAGAAATACAGCAGTTCTTGAACTGCAGATCAGATTTAACCTCCAAGCTGATAGATGAATGATGTAGCTGAGGTGTAATCCCTGCTGTCCAGTTTCTTCACTGCACATGATATCCTAAGGGTTAAATTAGATGGTTTTGTTGGAATTGGGTTGATGTTTAATACTTACATTACTGATCTGTTGTCTTTGCGCAGATTCCAGCAAAAAAGTACTAAAAGGTAGCCTACAAAGTTTAAGACTCTGTATTGCTTTGATACAGAAATTACAGCTGAACAAGATTCATTTGGTCTTAGAGACAAAAAGTTTAGACATCGTGCTCTAATCAGGGAGGATTGGTGGCTTACATTTGAGAAGGAAAATTACCAAAGTGGAAAAATTCTTACACTGTTCTACCAAGAGAGAAGTGCTTCAGAACATTGGAAATGTTTGGGCTTTCGGGATTCCCAGCTGTCTTGCGTTGACTGCAATTATAAAAAATTTCCTCCAGCTTTTATTTTGAGAAGACTGTTCTCACTGTGCTGCTCTTTTCCTCATGATTTTGTTTATGCTTCCTGAGAAGCAATACCCATATTAAAAGTCAAGAAGGGTGGGTAAGTTTTGTATTTTAGCAGCTGGCGTGGGAGAAATTCAGCCTCTTGGTGGAAAGTTCAAGCTCTGTGAGTGTGATCAGCCATCTCTAAATACCAGCAGAAGTTCTGGATTGTCAGTTTTCCCTAAATTAGTGCAGTAATCAGCAATCTGACCTCTCTGAAATAATGTTCAAAGGATTCATTGCATAATTTGGTCTACAGCACATTACTCGGCTTGGAAATGGTATTTTAGAAGGTGTTTGATCTTGGTCCACCGCTTATTTAAGAAAAAAAACAACGCACACTTACATTTAAAAGTGGAATAAAAATGTTTTTAAGAAGTTCTGAAATAATTTAGTTTGTTTCCTATGTTATTCTTGCAAGTACTTATGCTCTGTAACAGAGAAAAGTGAGAGGAAAAGATGGTTAGAATACGCTGACTACAACTATTTTTTCCAGCAGTGTGTGTGTATACCATGGAAGTAGTTGAGATCTTCCTTCCTCTGCTCATTTATGCTTGGATAACGTATTTAATAGAAGTGGCTATTAGGAGTTTCACCACTTCTGGAAGGGACGGTCGACTGGGAAGTTATATTTGTGAAATACAGGATATCCCCATCTGCCGACTCCTCCAGTTTTTTCCAGACATTTTGGCACATGTCTGATGACTACAATCATTTTCTGTTTGTTGCCTGAAACCTCAAAGGGGACATGGAAATTTCATTTACTTTTAATATTCTTTTCACAGTCTTGGACATTTTTCCAGAAAAGTGCAGTGGAATGGTGTGTGCAGTAGCAGCGTTGCTAGCATTCCTGTTGTGCAGTTACATTGTACTGAAAGCTGCATCTCCTAATATGCTTTGCTATTAGAATGACACAACAGTGCTGTCAATGAAAAATGTGACTGACTGCACAAGAGTATTTCTTATGTGGTGCTACTAAAAGCTCTCCTGTCACTTCTGTGGTGGTATGCGAAACAGCAATCCACCACCCCAGTCCTTCACTGATTGATGGAACTCAATACCTTGAGGTTGTCTGTTCTATTTTCTGTTCCATTTTACTTGGCATGCTAACTAAACTGTTACTGGACCAATGCCTGCACTTTCTGTCTAGACTTCAGCTTCATTAGTAAGCAATTAATAAGGCTTACACTTGGTACTTTCCCACCTTTGCTTTATTCAGAGGCTAATCATCTCTCTCCCAAGGAGCAGTTTCTTTGTTCTTCTCGCTTTATCTGATATTGTTAAGCTTAGCTCTCCCAGAACATTAATAATATGTTTATACAGATATTATTATTTTCCCTGCGCCAGGTCAAGTGTTTTTCCCAGTTACCATCATTGTAACTGGGATGACTGAGGTTTTTGACACACTGCTAGCTGCAAAGTCATTTTGGCAAAGTTTTGAAATGTTGCTGTGAGCAGTCATGAAAACTCAGATTTGGCAGATGATAAGGTTCTTTATCTCTGGGAATCTGATTATAATCCTTACAGAAAAGTAAAGGCTGAAAATCACAAGTAGTTTTGGATAAGCTAGTAGTCTAAACTCACCTTGTAAGTAATTTCCATTGCAATTGTGTCATCATATGTTATGCTAAAGACTACCAAAATCAAAGATCTATGAGTTATACTGGTTCTGCTTTAATCATAATATGGTGGCGTGCTTTACATTTTCAAAAAAGATGAATTGTTCTTTTGTAAGCTTCAATTTCAAAACAACATAAGAAAAAAGCTTCAGAATAATCTATGCAGTAGAAGTTTGTAAGATACTCAGTTTTCCAGTACATACTGAAATTTTGCTGCATCTTCTCCTGGCTTCCTTGGGGAAATGCTGAGAACAATAGTAAGAAGTGAGTTCTGCCACCGCAGTTTTGCATTTCTGTCCAGGTTTGTGAGAGGTCTGAAACTAGACCAACCTGATTGTTAATTGATATGTTTTCACTCGTTTTGTTTTGATGATTAGGGACTTCTGGGTGACCGAGGACCTCCAGGCCCACAAGGCCCTAAAGGACTTGAGGTAAGATGGAAAATTATCCAATCAAGAGATTATGTTTAAAAGAAAGTTGTGAGGGGTAAAGGGTTAGACAACAATGGTTAGGTGTTGATGGTGTTGTCAGGCAAAATTTGAAGTTTCTTCTGCATTTTGGCAGGTGTTTCAAAGAGGTTTTAGCAGCCTTATGGGGCATCCATTCTGTCATTTAGTTTAGTTAAGGTAGTGGAATCTCAGATAAAATGTGTCCAGAGTCAGATGTGGTTGCTTTAGTTAGTCTGGGGAGATGGGGGGGGGTGGTGGTGGTGGTGGTATGGACATAGGAACTATATATCAATTTATTTATAGTATGATAGATAAACTTAAGTAAACAGAACCCTGTTAACTGAAGGTGAAGGAAAGCAGATCTTCTTATAGATTTATTGAATATTCTTAATCCATCATTATAAAAGCTAAAAGTAATTAATATATTCAGTGGTTCTGGGGCTAGACCTCTAGACTTTTAAGTAGCTTAATTATGGGCTTCCATGACAAATACTTAGTAAAAGCTAACAGTGGCAAAATTGTCTGTTAGAAGCAAGAAGCTGTAGATATGATTTCTTAATTCCTCTGTTTCTTATTGCTTGTAATTGAAAAGGTAACATAACCACTTTTCTCCAAAACTGGGAGAAAATCTTTCATATTGGGGAGGATTAGTGAACCATCATATGATCACGGCATGACACCCCGGCATGGCATTGGTACTAACCTGTGCTTTGATATAACTGTGTAATGAGTGAACCCTGAACAGTTAACGCTGCAGTTCCCCATCGTGCATAACTGTTATGCACTGTGCAGTGTAGGCACAGTGTCTCGTTTCTTTTTTTATACACTTGACATGGCTTTCTTGCTAATTTGTCTGAAGTTAGATTAGTCTCTCTTAGAGTGTTTCTGTCAGACTTGGACTCATACAAACACATATGAAGCAAATTGAAGGTGGTACAATAAATGCAAACAGCTATTTGCAGATTTTCTTTTTTAAAGATAGACTTGGCATCAAGATTATTGAAGTCCAGATTTCTTTTAGGGAGAAGTAGGACCAGCTGGACCTATTGGAGGAGTTGGCCCAAGAGTAAGTATAATTAATTTTGTTAGGAAAGACTATTTTTTGGTGGAAGTACTGCTTTAAAAGGTAAATTTACTGTGAGAAGTAACTGTGTTAAAATGATATCTCCTGAATAAATGTGTGTCTTTTCTCAACATGTGCTCAAAGCTAAAGGAGGAGAAATGGCTTTCCATACGAAGGATTTGAAAGGATATTATGGTCATGGTTTACAAAATAATTTTTTTTTCTTAAAAGAGTCAATAACAAACTGGTTATGGTGCTCCTCTGAGACAGATGAAACCACCATGCACTTCCTAGGACTGAACCAGCAGATATCTCAAAATATTTAAACTGGGGAAGAACCCAACTTGAGACTCAGTTCACTGGGAGAACTGTAAAGGGCTGATGCTTTAAGAAATAATTTTCAAACTGATCTGGTAGACAGTAGCTGAAAACAGTAAAGCTGGAATGTCACAATGCTGTTTGTGCTGACATGTTTTGAAAGATAAAAGATTAAAATTAACAACTGGTTTTGTTAGTTATAAAACCATACTAGTGACTAAGAGTATTTTAGTGTATTTGAAGTTTATTAGAAAAATTCTAAGCTAAAAATTAATGCTAGCCTACACCAAGGGACTATAGGAATGTCACTAAGTTTATGGGAAGCAATATGATCTTCTGCCTTTACTTGATTTGGTTATGTGTGATAATCACTGGCTTGGTCTTAATTCTGAATGACTTCCTATTTCTTTCAGGAACTTGGGAAAGTCTTTCCCATTTTTCCCCATTCTAGAGTGGATATATTCCTATGTCATTTTCCCTGTTCATTAGCTAGTCAAAGCTGGGAATTTGCTTTCTGTTAGAAATAGTATTAAAATGTTTATTTGCTATGTTGATTAAATTTTTAAAAAACAAAAACAAACTCCTATTTACAGCTCAGGAAAACATGCAAAAAATTGAACAGAATTTCAAAATACTTTGTGACTCAATTCAATAGTCAGTTTAATCTCCCTAAGCGTCTGCCAAGAGCCTCATGGAAATTCTTATTTTGGCTGCATCCTCCTTTGAGTCTCCTCCTTGGGCAGGGCTTCATGGTTGGACAGCATCTCCCATGTAGTGTTGTGGTAACTGGAAAAGAAGATGCTGCAGCGGGTGACTCATGGACAGTGAGACACCTACCTTCACATTCTCTGCGTCACCAGGCATGCTCAGGTCACCATCAGCTGGTGTCAAAGTGACCCAAGAGGAAAAATTCCTGTGTAACCTAGCAAACTGAAATATTTGTAATCCATTTCAGGTCAGTTTGACCTAAATTGTTTTGTGTTTGATACGTCTCAATGGGAAATGTGCATATTGTTAGCATGTCTTATTGCCCCGTGGTTTCTCTCACTCACAAGCTGTTAAGAGTGTGTGGATCCGAGGTGGGTCCCAGGGTTGGTGTCTCCATGCATTCTTATAGGTTGCTGGCTAACATCCCCTCCTGAAATGAGAGACAGGGGAAAATGGGAAGTTTGCTTGATAAGGAGCCTTGCTTGTTTTCCCCTCTTGTCCCAGGGCCCACCTGCTCTCTCCTGGCTTCTATAGCTGGCTCCAGCTGTTTCACAGCTCCAGGCCACCACTGCTGCTCTGATCTCTTCTACCACCTCTGCTTGTCCTTGCTTCTTCACTCCCACTTGTAAACATAGACTGTGATTGCATTGGAGAGAGAGAGTCCAAGTCATGAAGTTGTTGAATCCAGTACAGTTTAGTAGGACTGAGTCAGTAAGCTGCTGAACACGTCTGTTTGTTTTAAATTATGCTTACTTGATTGCAGTTTCACATACATTTGATTTACACAAGCTTTGATTCCATTTTCCATAAAAGGAGTCCAGAAAAGTAAATGCTATATCTGAAAGTAAATGCTATCAAAACCGTGTTATTGCTGTACTAATTAAATAAGCCTTGGGGCTGGGGAGGTCTCTGAGAGGGACCTGAAGAAGTGGTCTGGCCATGCATAGTCCCAAGGCACCGTCAGCTCTCAGCTATGCCTTGAGCTGACTAATGTCTCTAACTTGTTTTGTGCAGCCTCTAATAGTGAGGTTCTTCATTCTCCTGGCAATCGGCTTTAGTGCTTTGTCTGGTTTACAGACTCTCTTCCTAATGTCTAGCTGATCTGAGTCTTGCCTGTGTCTTTCTCGCTGCAACCTTGCTTCCTGTCCTACAGGACTTATTTGTAGGCATGGTTAATAGGTTAGTCCTCTCTTCAGCCACTATTGTCCTGACCTTCTTAGGGTTTGTCTAAACAGGTATCCTTATAAGTGATATATCGTAATCCTACAATTATTCTTATTAAACAGTTCTAGTTTTCTCTTGGACAGTAATGGAGCAGGTTTCTAGTGCTTCTGGAACTCCTCATCTCTTCTACTGAGTAGTTTTCAGGTCAAAGTGTTCAGCTGCCAGTTCAGGTTTAGGTATGCACCAAGCAGGCAGCCACAGATTTTTCACCTCATTTTCCCTCATCCCTCCCCACCCCTGCCCTTGCTTTTAACATTTGTTTTAAAAAATGTGTGTGAGACCAGAAACACCTGGGACCCACCTGACCAATGCTGCCAGCAAAATAAGTCATTCGCTACTGGAACAGAAGGTAAGTATGAACCTACACTCTGGTTCTCAGATCCCGGCTTGGAGAATTCCCATGTGTCTAAAACAATGGGAGCCAAAACCAACGATGATTTCCGACTTAGTCAGGATATATCTCAGGTTCCACAGAGCTCAGCCTGTTTGAATTTAGGAAGAGGATTTTGAGCTGAATCTGATTACATAATTTGAATTTTCATTCATCCCTTTCTCATCCTTTTATTTATATATTATTTATTTATTTCTCATCCCTTCTCATCCATTTATTCCAAAGTTGAATTCATATATTGTCTTATATTAATCCTTGTAAATAAATAAGCTTTTCTTTTCTTTTTTTTTTTTATTTGCTTACTTCTGTCAAAATACAGTAGATGCCACATTAGAGAGTAACTGTGTTTATTCAGTTTCCTCCCAGTTAACTCTATTTCTCAAAGGCTATCCCACTGTTAACACTCTACCTGTCAGTATAGCTCAGCTCAGTCAGTGCAAGCATTGGAGCACTTTATTTTTTTTTTTTTTTTTTTAATCTTCATTGCAGGAGCGGAAAATGCCTTTAAAGGGGGTGGGATTGTTTTAAACTAGAACATAAAGTGGAATTGTTATGAGTTGATTATTTTGAGAGACATGTAAAACAAGAACTGGTATCTCTATAGTCATAAGGTGAGCAGTTCCTCCTGAAGATGGAGAAAAGTTCAGTCAAAGCTGCCCTACTTCCCCAGTGCAGTGTTTTCTGAAGGTGGTATATTTCTTCCTGTGGGCTGAAGACATACAAGATGCTTGTGGAGGGATACAAATAGAGTGATAGTGAGAGATATTTATATTAAAATATACATACCTGTATCAGCCCATCGTGAGGGGAAAGGAAGCATGGGAGGTTGTTGTTTCCTGAAGAGGAAGGGCAGAACTTTCAGCTAATATTTTAGGAAACAGACATTTCCTTTGGGATTACCCTGCTCTGGAAGAGTCATTTTCTCAGGAGTTTGAAAGCAGAAAAGCAGCCATGCCTAGTTTAACCTTCAGTCAGTGGCTTTTGCTCTGTGTGTAATTTACAGTCGTATTGCAGTTCTGTTTAAAGCCAAATCTGTGTGGTTCAAATAGCTTTACCAGTTGAACCCACTTGTTCAATTTTCTGATCAATTTGCATCTGTTGTGTGTCCTTTGCAGCTAGTACAGCTAGTATAGCTGGGGTGCTGCAGCCAAGAAAACTTTACAAGTTGTAACTCCAATTCAGGCCCCAAATTATCAAGGTAGTTAGTAGTGGCCACTAGTTTTCTTTCAGTTAATTTAGTTTAAAACATTTTTATGTTTCGGTCTTGCTCTCTAGAAAGCCCTTGAGGTTCTTTGTGGCAAAGTAGTTAAACAGCGTGTAGTGAACTGCAGAAGCCATCGCTTGGTGGTTGGTTTGTTTGTTGGGTTGGTTTTTTTTTTTGTCACTCACTTTGCTAAGCATTGTGGAAGACATGACTTGCTTTATCTGGGTCTCTCAGAACTTCTTTTCACTGTCTTTTCTCCCTGCCTTCCTAGCTGTGCTATGTTTTAATCACTGGCAAAACCAAAAATCTGCTTCTAAAGCAGTGATACTTGTTGGAACTTGTAGGGCAAAATGAAATCGCTCAGGCAGGCAGAGAGAGAACAAGAGAGATAAAAGGGGAGTCGTGGGAAGTCATGGAACCTATTAAGACAATATAATTTTAAGCCATATAGCGAATTTATCAGAGGCTCAGAAACTAACACACACATTGCGTTGTGAAAGATTGGGCGCAGAGCAGCCAGAACAAAGGAGCCAAATGGGAAAATCCCATTTTCTTTGAAGAAACCTGTTTGTTATCTGCTGATTTAGTTGCTCTTCTCTCGGGACAGCTGATGTGGAAAGGAAAGCTCTCATTAGAGTCCTGCGATTGCAATTATTCAGTCTGCTGGAATGACAGCTGATAATTTCCTTTTAGCAGAAATCCTCATCTTTTTGATATGGAATCATTAAAATGTTGAATTAATTTTCTTTCTCCAGTTGTCAGGCTTCAGTGATCTCATTAGCAACTTGCTCAAGAGCCAGATCCACTCCATCGAACCGTTACTTTTGAATTAAAGGTCTTTGCCTCAGAGCAGATGGGGAAAGTTTGTCTAGGCAGGGCTATGCTGTTTAGATAACCAAATGGTTAGGCCAAGGTTTATGTTGTAGAGGAAATAAAGTATATCTGGAGGGAAAATTACCTCCTGAAAGTGAGACATAATTAAGTTATAAACATCTAATTGAAAATTCAGGAGAAAAGCATTCCTATTTGTATGCCTTTGTGGATATGTGTGAGTGACAGCAGATGGAGGGATGTATATTATAAAGTGCTTCAAAGATCTCAGCACTTCATGGCTTCCTGCTCTGACTGATGTTGCTGTATTTCATCCGGGTAACAATATGTTATTATCAGAGTATCATACCCACAAGATACGAGCAACAAAATGGTAGTGGAGAGAAATGAGGCTTAAACTAATCAGTTTGATAAACAAGGAGGAGAGGATATTTAAGCTGATTTTGTCTGGTTGAGGAATGACAGTTATGACAACAGTCTCTCAAGTCTGAACGTCATATTCTGTTAGTATGAGTCCTTATTCTGCTGGAATTAGGAGAGTATATGACCTTACCTTTTATCTCCTCAGCATGTTTTTATAAGTTGAAATGGTTTTGATTCTTGGGTTGTGACTGCTTTTTCCTCAGTAATAACTGCTGTAAGAGTTAATACAGATTCTTCTTACTGTGCTAGTACTTGCTGTAATAATCAAGAGTGTATTTTCAGGTGCAGATTTGTAAATATACTTGCTTCAAGCATTGATATTAAATATGACTAAACTGTAAATTTTTGAGTGCATGTATTTTGATAAATACAGAAATTGGGATTAAATTATCTTTTAAAAATAAAATATTTACAGTATTTTATTCTAATCATTATTTTAGGGAAAGCCAGGACAGAAAGGTTATGTAGGTGATCCTGGACCAGAAGGGTTGAAGGTAAGTGATGGTTTTATGTAGGAAATAAAATGTGTTTGGAGTATAAACTGTGTACAGTTATACACTGCTATATACAATGGCATTACAGTAAAAGGATGTGAGTATGCATGCTTCTATATAAAATATCATACTAGTGATTAACTAGTCTAATACTTAGTGCCAGTTCCAAGGTTCTGGGAGAAGGAGGAGAGGTTTGTTAAAATTCAAAATGTCAATTTTCCTAGTGTTTCATAATAAAGTTAAAGTTATCAGTAGTGTGCACAGGTAACATTTACTTTTGAAGCAGTTGTAAAATAATGAAGGTAATTTGCTGAAAGGAAGATTAAAATAAAACCGAAATCATTTTTTTGTAGTGTTTGCTGACTCAATGTATTAAGTGAGCCTTTAATACACAGTTTTCATTTTTGAGGGCAAGTCCTAAATACATTGGGACATCTCTTTACAAAATCAAAATCAGCCACTGATAAAATTAAATTTTCGCTGGTTGCTTAATTTTGGGTTTTAAAGTTTTAACTGGCAGATGTAATTTAGAAAATAAGAGAAGCTCCTAGGAAAATAGAGGACTTTAATATACACATATGAAAGAAATTACATTTCTAATGAACTACGTCATCTGTTTTCTACATTTAACAGGGAGAACAAGGAGATCAAGGAAACCTTGGAAAAACTGGTGAAGCAGTAAGCTTGAATTCCCTTTCTGGTTTTATTTTTAATTCTTTGTTTATTTGAGATTGAATGAGTCATTTGTTGCAGTAACCTTCTGATGAAGTTTGTCTTCCTTTGAAGCTGTAGGATGTTGGCTATACCTTTGTGGTCTTTCAGAATTGTACTATTTAAAGAAAATCCCCATTATTTTCTGGAGTAAATTCTGCCTTTTTCCTAATAGGTTGAATGAACGCTATAGGTAGTTGTAGGGAATCTTCCAAAGCACGTTCAAGTTAAGTGAATGAGTGATCCTTTTCCAGTTAAATCGTTTGAGAGGCTACATTTAGCCTGAGATGTATTTTGCAGACTTGTTGTGTCTCCCCTTCATAAAAATCACAGAGCTCAAGGTGACCTCCATCCTGTACTGCCTGGGCAGGATCAGTCCTCTTTGTATCACTTCTGACAAATATTTGGCTAACCAGTTACTGAAAAGCTCCAAGAACAAAGGCTCCATGACCTGCAGGCAGCCTAGTGCTTCTCCATCCTTATTTTTAAAACGTTCTTCCAATTGTGTAATCAGACTCCTTTCTGCAAACAGCATTTTACAAATGATGTTGGGTATTGTGTGCCTTCAATTGTGACTGTCCCGATTCACTTAGCCTTTCATGTTTTCTAGATAAGTCACATTCTTGCTGTCCTGTAGACTGTTTCTAATTCACCTAAACATCTATGACCCCAGCTTACTACCCAAACCTCTTAGACTGCTGAAAGGGAAAATTGCTTCTTAGAAGCCATATTATTGCATACACATGCCGATTTTTGTAACAGCATGTTGTTACTCAGTTATCCAGAGTGTCCAATCCTTTTTAAAAGTTATCTTTCCCAGTTCTTCCACTGTAGGCACTTTTGTAGTTGATAATCGTCACTTAAACATATTGCCTTGCAATTGTCTCTGCTTAATTTCATCCCCTGCCCTTTTGTATTTTTAACTTGTGTCTGGGAATTATGAGCAGGTGTGTGCTTATTGACCCATGCTTGAGTTACCCAGATGTTGCTTAGAAGGTGATGAAATTGGTCTTGTTTCTTGAGTTAATGTATGCCAAGGTGAGATACCATACACTGTTTTGGGCTCAGTGCTGTACTAACATAAACATGGTTCAGCATTTTGCATTGTTGAAAAACACCAGGCAGATGTACTCCAGACAGCATATTAAATGGTTGGTTACTGCTGAAATTTTCTGAACTGCTTGTAAGTCAAATCCAACTCCTCTGTGTACTCTGAAGACTCTGCTCCAGGGAAGGGTACTGGGAAGCTGGACTCTCAGCCAGTTAAAAGTATCTGCTTAGATAGGAACCAGTAGTGTTGTATAGCACCATATGGCCAGCAGCATATCTCTAAACATAGTATACTTTAGCAGCAGCTTGATCCTTAGCTTTGTTCAGCAGTTTATACATAGCAAAACTTTCATTTTGTTGTCAGAGCTGTAAGACCTTATGATACCATTTGGAAAATCTGTGGTTCTTTATGTTGCTGAATGATTAGGGCAAACCTGGGTGAGTACTGGAGAAGGAAGATGTCATGGTAGAGCAGAACAGATGGGACATAGTGGCAGTGTATTGCTTTTCTGGACAGATGCAGAAATCACTCTGTATTGGGACAAAGTAGTATAATCTCCTGTTGAAGATCTTATTGCATGTGGATTCTGATTTTCATCCTGTATTGTGTTAGAGAAAATTGATAGCATTTACTCTGTTGTACAGTGCCACATGCACCTAAATCCTCAACAAAAGACAAACTAAGCTAAGCAGTCAGTCACTTCATTAATAGTAGTGCATAAACAGTCACAGAAGCTAGTTACTTAACCTTAAATTTCTGGATTTGTCATGGGCTTTTTTAGTTCCTCAGTGAACTTGGATTCAGTGCACACATTTTCCACAACTCAGGTATTTTGTATGTGCATAATATTCACTGCTAAAGGAGCTCCATTCTAACTCAATTCACTAGCTCAAATATATAATCAATGATTATATGTTGCAGTGATGATTAATAAAATAATCATACTAACTACCTAACTGAATCAGGGACAGGCTGCAAGAATAAAATACCAAAAATATTCTTTGTGCCGAAAAAGGGGATGTTGTAGAGCCCCGTTAGTGCTATATAGAAAGATAATTATGGCCGGTCATTAGTTACCACTTCCCACACTTGCGGTTTGGAGAATTTGTGTTTGATAAAGGATGGCATGAGATTCCTGAGAGCTGAAGTGATTTCTAAGCTGTTGATAAATACTCTTTATTTTTACTTGTGAATTGTAAAATGTTTTCTGCTTTACATACATATTTTAATCAAATAAGTTTCATACACCCTTGATCCTGATATTACTTTTGTGTTATCTGTCAGCAGAGAACTAAGACCCAATATATGGTTTTTAGGGGGATAGTATCTATGGTTTTCTGGTTAAGGTCAATGGTAAAACACCAAGAACAAGAGACAGCCTTTCAAACACACTCAGCAGAACTCACAGGAAGACCTTTCAAAATTCTTTCCCTTCGCTTTATTCACCACAGTAATCTGTAACAGTTAAGCTTTTCCTAAGTTAGTTGAAAAGTACTAGCAGGAAGAGGATTGCTTTTCTCTGTGCACAAAATGGTTTTCCAGATGTGAGTCTTGACGCAAGATGTACGGTTTGGATGAAGTTTTTACTTCCAGCTTCTCACCAGCTTCTGTTTGTGACAAGTAATTTTTCTTTTCCTTGGTGTGCAGAGAGAATACAAATTCCTAAATTCACAGATAAATCCACTCCATACTATTCAGTGTTGGCTCTGGTGGCATACAGAATGACTCCAGAACATCTCTGGAATCAAACATGCCACACACACAAAAAAATAGTGCTGAACAATGTGCAATTAATGTGTTTAATAGTAAAGGTAAAGAGAAAAAGAAATTACTGAAATGTTGATAGGAAGTCCAGCGTCTAATGAAACTCTGTGTATGGCTTCTTCCTTCTGCACACACCTCACTCCCTTCCGGCTTATCTGTTGCTTGAGGTTTATTCATGATCTTTATTGACTGAATTTTTCAAATTACAGAATATGATGCATACTTTTAAGCCCATGATTGAAATAAACAGTACCTTTCTTTTGTTTTTAGCAATGGGGAATCCATCACAATATTGCAGTTCTCCAAAAGAAAACTTATTTTTTTATTTTCTTGCTTTTCTTGGTATCATCCATCTAATATATAACTAATATATCTGTCACTGCTGCATGAGGTGCCAAAATAGTTATTGCTTTTCTGTAGCAGCTTTTCCAGGTCAAGTACTGCTCAATATGTGCGTAGAAAAATACAGATGGCAACCGCGCACAAGCAGGGAAGTTTCAGCAGCAGATTGGGCCATAGTGCTTGGTTACTTAGTCTGGTTAGATGGGTAATGTACTGAAATACAGATTTGTCAATAGGCTAGAAGCTGTATTGTCAAACATTTCTTAGGTCACATGAAGCTGCTGAGTTTTCAGATCACATTTCTGCCAAAGTATTTGTGGACGCTTGTCTGGTGTGGAAACTGAGTAGACCAACTTTATGAAATGTTCACTGTACTCATAAGCTAAAAGTGACACCCATTTAAATACTAGATCAGGAATGTGCCTAAGATCAAACTTCAGACACTATTCCTTAACCAAGTCCTACAACAAAAATTATTTCTCTGGCTACAGCATACACCCTGTTTAAAGGGGAAGGTGGGCAGGTTTGTATGGTGCTGCTTGGCTAAGCAGAGCCCAAAGCTTCAGTAGGACACAGCATCTGTCCTTTGCTGCAAGATACTCAGTTAACTGCAGGACTATCAGGTCAAATTGAAGAGCAGTGGGTTAAGATAGTGAATAGTAAGGGACATCAGGCAGAGCAAATTTATAGTGCTGATGAGAGAAAATCCTTTGGGAGTCATGCCAAAGGAAGCAACCACCTCAGCTACTTACAAAATTGCCCTTACGTTTGGAGGAGGAAAATCTCGCTTTGCCGATGTGTGTAACTGGATTTTGTATGCTTAGATCAGGTGTTATCCGAATGGCAAATATCTGAAAGCAGCTTCAGGCATCTCATAGAAATGACCTGTGGTAAACTGTGAGGGATTATTTAAGAAAACTATTTCTTGTCCATATTTTATGGCCCAAAATTGAACTGATCTAAACATTAAGCAGTTGCTTGTCAGGATTGTGATATTGTTTGATAATGCTAGTGTTTAGCCAGATTGGGCCATGCTGGGTAACAAAGTGCAAGTTAATTCCAATTTCTCTTTGCCAGTCCCATTACAGAGATTCAGACCTTGGCCCATACACTTACGAATTAGAAATCACTGACATTTATACATATATTAAGGCAGAATACGAGGGTAGAACTGTCAGCTGCAGCGTGTACAGCTGGAGTCAAAGGGACAAACTGAGCTAAATAGAGCTCATGAGCACAAATCCTGGGAAAATGATCTTCAAAGACCTGTAAAATGTCCCTCAGAGGTAAAAATTAGCTGGATTACGCACCAGGGATGCTTAATTCATGGAGAATGGAAGCTGCAATTCCTTTTGCTTAAAGAAAAAACTAAAGGGACTTTAACTGATGTTTTCAGGATGCTCACTAGAAGGAGTTCTTTGAAGTTGGGTCTTTGGGGATATGCAAATGAGAATTGTAAGCCCCAGGCCGAAAGAAAAGTCAGTTGAGGAAAACGTTGGGTTTTTTTCAAACGACTGGTGAATGCATGGGACATTGCCAAGGGCTTCAGAAGAGGGAACTAGTTCCGCTGCTTTCAGAAACCAATTGGGTACACATTAATGTAAGTTCTATGAAGATTTTACAGTGAATGATGATGATACTTCTGTGTCTATGTTATGCTGCTTAGTTTTACCCTAGGTGAACTGATACACTGCCACTGCTGCTAGGTCTTTTTCTCAAGAAGAGTGGGGAAACAGGTTACAATAGCTGGAGGTTAGCATTTTCAAGCTGATACTCATTTTTCTTGAAGGACTTGTTGATAGTGCTTCTATGCATAACACTGTCGAACAGAATTATCCTTCCTTACACTAGTGTATCTGGAAGCAAAATTTACCCAATTTCTTTCCTACAGCTGCTGTAGATTAAGGAATGATGTCAGTACATTTTGCCTTCCAAATATTCAGGTACTAGAAGTTTTTAGTCCTTCAAAAAAATCGAGTGAAGCATCATCTGTGAGGTAGAAATATGGTGTATCTCCGCTTTCATTCACCTGCTCCACTGGCAGTAGCAAAGCGCGGATTTTCACTTGTATTATCACCTCCGGTTGATTACCAAGTAACTTTCTCAACAGATGGAAAAAACCCAGTGAAACAGCTGGACAGATCTCCATGTCGAAAAGAAGAAAATAACATCTGCCTTTCAAATACCATGCTTCCCAACATAATCCTGGGTAAAGCAGCTACAGATCTCATGGTCACTTCGTAACATTTTTAGTACTGTGGTTATGAGGTAGGAAATATTTTCTAAAGCTTAGGCTTGGAACCACCAGCCTGAATAAGAAAAAAGGCCCACACAAACCCATTGCTATGTGACATACAGCAATCTGCGCAGCTGCCAGGCAGGAGCTCCTCATATTGCGAGTTCTAACATGGCACTGTTTTCAAGTCTGTTCTTGTTGGTTACTTGTATTGAGCTTTCCCAGTGGTCTGGAGACAGGGCAGGGTATTGAAGACAATACTTCAGGTGACTCTTACCTCTAAGTGCAGGACATTAACAGCTACTCTATTCAGTTCATACCTGATACTGTTATAGCAGTAAGGAAATGTTCTATACAAAGGCTCTGTTGAAAGTCTTTGGTTCAGTAATATACTGGTTTTGATCAGATGGAAGAAAGTCACGAAGAAAGTCACTGATCTGATACAAATGAACCCAGAAATCTATGACTTACCTATCAACTGTCCATGACACCTCCTTTCTCACAGGTCAGCTACCTTTTGTTCTGCTGCAGATTCTATAAAGCCCAAATAGCAGCCAGTGTAAACCCGGCCTCATGCTTTCTTCCTAATTTTTGTCTAGGCCTGATCTGGGTCACATCTGTTAGAGGCATACTTGAACAGATCCAGTATTAGTGATACTGTGATACCAGGGTCCAAGTGGATTAATTTTAAAAATAGTTACTACCATTATGTCTAGCTAGCAAAACAGAGCTTGGGATTCAGGACAAATTTTAATGAAAATTAATCAGAAATACCAAAAAAGTTCATAGGAAGATGTTAATGTGTCATGATAATATTTTAAATTTACTTATGTCATCTTGTTAAAAGAATGTTGAATTAAAATGTTTGGAAATGCTGAATTCTAAATAGCATTGGGTTGGAAAATTTTCAGGTACCACAGAAGAGTGTGTTAGCGTACACCCTGACAGGTAACTGCCTTCACAGGAATGTTTGGAATCAGTTGAATATTTATTTCTCACTACCAAGCTTTACAACAGGTTACTCCATACTTGGGTTTGCATTAAGTGTACAACGTGTTTTCAATTATTCAACTATAGTCCAGTTTCTAACATAGAGCATATGCCCTGGCAAGATTGCTTGTCTTTCTCAGGCATAGTTGTGAGATCTGGTCTCTTGATTAATTTTCCACAAAAATGCTTCTGTCAGGAAGGTTTCTAAAATGCTGTTATTGTCACTGGAGAGTTCTATACAAATTCTTGTAAATGAAAGTTTATGACTATTTTTTAACAAGGTGGTTATTTTTTTTTTTAACATTTCTGGTTTTTTTCCTTTACTTTTCTGTTGCCAAGTATATTCAATTTCATTTTTGGAATCCACGACTGCTCCCCAAAGGATTGAAGGGATGCTGGTAGGCACTGGCTCAACAAACCTGCTCTGGACAGTATTCATCCCCTGACATAAGAGGGAGAGTTGAAACCTTGGTCCAGTCCTGGCGGCTGGTCTTTATAATAAGCCAATCCAAATCTGGGATGTAAGGAGCCAAGTGATCTTTTAAAAAGGCCATAGGGAGAACATCACTTTATCGCTAATATGTTGGTGGAACAAGATGTTTTGCTCTCTGATTGCACTTTCTCTTCACCATATGCTGCTAATTCTTTTAATGACCAAAATCGTATTCCTGAGTAAGCTTTTTTTCTCTTGTGTCTCTGCTCATACCTGCCCTAGCTTTATCTCTGTCTCAGACAGTTACTCTGTTTTGAATGGAGTGGTGGAAGAGCATTTAATTAACCTGTCATGAACAACTTTCTCCTTCATTCCTCTTGAAGTCCATATTGCCTTTACCATTTCACTGGCTTCAGTTCTTTTTGTCATCTTGGCTACTGTTTTGCTTTACATATATACCTGCTTCTGCTTATTCAGAGTTTCTTTTCTGTCTTCTGTATCAGTGAAAAGCAACTTTCTTCTTCTAGTGTTTTTACTGTAATTTTTCTTGGCTACTCTCTTCTGAGGAACAGCCAGTGTCTAGGAAACTTTCTATTTAATAGCCAACTTTTGTCCTCACTCTGGAAGGTATTATAGGCTAGTCCTAATGTACTGGGTAATACAACAGCACATTCACAGTCACTGCTTCCTAGTCATTCCTTCCCTTTCAGACCAGAGAAACTGAGTCAGAAAGACAATACTTCTGAATTGAAACGGGGACTTGATCTGAGGCTGTATAGTAGAATGGTAGGTCTGAGTTACATCTTGGCTCTGATTTGTGTCTTCTGTCCTTTCTGGAATAAGAGAATCAAAGTGATTAGTCTTTAGACTTTTGAAACCGTACCTCCACACACTTTATCTTGATGAGCAAGAGTACAGGGTAATTCTTTGTCTCACAGGTTTCTGCCTGGTACCGGGGCCTGCTGTTGGCCATGACTGGTAGCAGTGGTAGCTTTCGTTCTCAGAGTTCACCATGAAAGTCCCTCATTCCTGCCAGTCTGGGCATCGCCTTACTGCCAATATTGCTAGGATTTATTTGACTGCTGTTAAGCCAAGAGACATCTCAGTTCTGACATAAAATACACAAATTCTGACACATAATACCTCAGTTCAGTAGACACAGAAATGTCTGTTTATCTCTGTACTCCCTTCCAGAACGTAGTTTGTGCCAGTATTGTGAGCCTCGAAGGCAGCTGTATCGATGCTCATTGCAATATACTTAAACTGTGAGATTTCCAGAGTAGCTAGCAGTCCAGGAAAATAACAAGCAATCATAAAACATTAGTTACTTTGTACCTGTTATGTTAAATTACTTGAGGGTGAACTGTATTGAAATTATATAGGCAAAAGCTACAAAACTTTAATTATTCCCCCCCAGCCCCCCCCAAAGGAAGAGATCTCAGATTGAAATGTTGTCTTTCTGCAATGAAATTATTTTGATGGAATAAAATGCTTCCAGGCTCTTGGAAGGAATATGAGCAGTTTAGTGAGCTCAGAAGTTACACTTGTGAAAAGTAAAACCTCACGTGCCAGTATAGCGCTACTAAAGCCAGTACATTCCTATACATATAGAGATAGCAATGCCGATGTGTGAATTGCCATTTTATTCAAACTTTTTTCAATTATGTCTCTACTAAGAGCTTCCACATTTCTGACATCTTTCATTAGCAGTCATGCAATGTACTCTGAGAACCTATTGCTTTATTTTCAAGCTCACTGCCTCATATGTTTCTCAGCTGGGACCATGAACTATATTTTTGTTTGTTTATTTGTTTTCTTTGAGTTTCATTATATAGAGGATATTGCAGGCACTGGGAATAAGCTTTTTAAAAGTACTTCCCCTCGTTTTTCCCATCACATATGGTGGTACTTGTTCTATCCACTGGAAATTTGTGGAAGAACCTCAGGAGAGAGTTATTTCATTTTTGAAGGACTGAAAGGCTCTGATCCCCTATTTCGAAGGCATTTAGGGCTTCAGCTCTTAAAGGGAAAATTCTGACAACACCTGGTCCAGTATAATTTTTGTTTTGACTAGCTTTTACTTTGTTCCATTTAATTTATTCCCCTTGAAAATTGTGGTCAAACTGAAGCGCTAGTAGAGCAATTATCACCTTTAATTGTATGTTTGTAAAGCTTCTAGTGCTGCAAGACTGGGCTTTGATGACAGAACCTAGGTGGTAGCACAGTATGATGACAAAGTGATCTCTCTTCTAGGAGCAGCCATTTAAGTTAGTGTGTCTAGATGCAGTGATTCTCCTGGATGGACTGTAAGACAGGTTAGCTTGTGCAGTTCTCCCTTCCCCACAAAAATAGACCAGTGGTTCTCTGGGATGAAGAAATGTGCCATGCTGTGCTGCGCAGTTGCTGGGGAGCTGCTAACCATGAACAGTAAAAGACATCACGCTAATAAATCTTCTTGCTTTCTGTACAGGGATCAGCTGGCTTACCTGGAGAAACTGGGCCATCTGGAAGCCTTGGTGAAAAGGTACAGTAATGTATCTGACTACTCAGCAGCAAATATCAGCTTTGAAAACCACTAGGGTGATAAAATGTTGGTGAGAGATTGTTTACTGACCACTGACAAGCTAATATTCCTGTAGCTATTTCAGAGTAGAGGAATGTAATAAATGGTAATCCAAATGCTGTTGTTTGAGGTATGCATCTGGTACCCTTGATTTTAATTGGTGACTAATTTAGAGCTGATAGAGTAGATACCTGTTCGTATTATGTCACTTACTTTACTATCCACTGTTACTGATTCACAGAAACTGACAAATTTAAAGAAACAAATTATACTTGTTTTATCCAGTAGTCACTGGTTTTGCACTGCTAAATGATGAAGACAAAAGTAGAAAGGTAAAATTTGGCTGTATGCATTAACTGAGTAAAGAAGACAATGTTGTTAGTTTTGTCTGCTGTGAAGTAATAGTTGTGTTTAGGAAAGCAAAAGTTTGGCACACTTAATGTGACTAGAACGGTGTAAGTAGTTTAAGCGTATTTGACATGGTTTTATTTAGGTGAAGTATTTTACTTCAACTGAAAAACAGGAAACTATTACTGAACTGCATGTCAGCTTCAATTATAATAAAACCATAATTGTTTGTCAGAGTGATCCAGCACCATTTGTATTTCTTCCCTGCAGGGCTGAATTATTTCATCTAGACTGGTGGCTGCTATTTGGATATTTTCTTGAAGAATTCTTAATAATGTATTAGAACTTCCATTAAAATATTGCAGTTTATATAATCTGTGAAAGGAAATAGATCAGTAAAAAGCACTGCTTGTTAAAACTAAAGTTTAGACAAATCTCTCATGGTATTAATCATAATATCATCTTAGAACTCAGTGTCAAAGGATTCTTGTTCTTTATAATTGTTTGGCACAACAAAGATTACCTTAGGATTGTGCTGATAGTTTAGGTAGGAGGGAAAAGGCAGTAAAAAGATAATCTATCATCCACAAATGGAAGCAAGCTGTTTCATGGTGTAGTAATTGTAACTGCTATGAATTTGTCTTCCTCTTTTATCTATTAAATAGTACCATGTAAGCATGCTATATGGATATAAATAACATACTTCCAGCATAATTATTTTAAAGAAATGTGTGTTTACAGTATGCAACATAAAATATGGTGTTATCACTATGTCATGTGTGCTGTCTGCAAAAAAAATGAAATCTTTTTATGGTGATAATCTGCAGCCAAACCTGATGTTTGGGCTGGATGTGGTATGAATAAAAGCTGAAAAAATTTCTAAGACAAGAAAGAGACCTTTCCTACTTCCCCTACTCCAACTGCTTCTGCAGCTGCAGAAGGGCTGGCCTTGCTTTTAGAGCTGTGCTTTCCTAACACATACTGAAGAAATGAGGGAGAGAGGAACAAAATTTTCTTTTTTTCCTTGTTTGCTGTGGTGAATTTTAGGGATTAGAAACATAATTGTAAACATGATGCACCCAACAGAGACAAAAGGGATCTGCTAGCTGCAGTTTGCAGAGGCTGATGTAGTAACAGATCTCTTCAGTCTTCGAGGAAAAGGGAAGGTAGAGAAACTCAGTTTGATCTTTTCAAAACATAGGTAGGCTTGTAGGATGGAGAAGTGAAAAGGGTCTCTGCACTGTTTCTGAAGGATGGTCCCTGAACCAGTGGTATTATACACTGTAGGAAGTGATTAAATCTCTTGTAGACTACAGGCTACAACCCTCTAGAAAGACCTCTTGCTGGGATGTTGTTGTTGCAGGTTAGCCTTGTTGGGCAGATATGCCTGGCTCATTGGTGGAAAGAGCACTTACTGTTGTTTTCTTTTTAATTTTTGTTAAAGGGACAGCGAGGCAGTCCAGGACCAGTAGGTCCTCCTGGAGAGAAAGGTGTCATGGTAAGTCACAAGTAATGTAGAATCCATAAGTGAGTTACAAACACACTTTACCTTCCAAAACAGTAATAAATTCTAACTCTTCTGACTGTACAAGCCTTATGGAAAAGAATAGTATTTATGATGCATGGTTCCTAGGAAGTTTTATTTAGTAGCTTTATCCCTTCTGTGGAAATGACATTGCAAAGTGACCCGCTGAATGAAGTAGCAGAGCAACTGCATTTTTGAAGAATGGCTCTAAGCAGCCTTACACTAAAAAATTAAACATAGTTGAAAGAAGAGATAAGTAAATGAGGGAAAATAACAATCTCCTGTGTAGACAAGGGTAACACAAGTTATTCTAATAAACAGACTGGTAACTAGCATCACCTCTAATTCTACTGCACAGCAGTACCCAAACAACCCTTGTGTGCCACTTTTGTGGAAGTACTGGCTTTCCAACAAGGGTGCTTGTCCTTAATCAGCTTGCAATGTTTCATGCAGCTTTGGACAGTCCAGAAGCCATTGTCATGTTAGGTAGATTGATATGTCACAGAAGTAAAATACTACTCACGTGCCCGTTGTCAAGTTCATGTTGAAGTACTCAAGGAAAAGTGGCTAGGGTTTTGTTGTGTGTGATAGATAGCTCTAGAATGTATAGAGAACACTTACAGACTTAACTGTTCAGAAGGAAATGATGCAGATTATAGGTGACATACTGCATGTTGCAACAGATGTGGGCCTGGGAGTGTTGCAGTGGGGAATGGGGGCATCCATTGGCAAAGAAGAGTCCAAGTACCCTCAGGCTGCAGACCAATGATCCATGCATCAGGAGACAATAATTTTTCAAGCATTCTGTGCTTCATTAAATCTCTCCAATCTAGATTTACCATCAACCAGTGGCACTGGACCATGAAAAAAATCTTATTGGAGAGATTACTAAAGGATTTATTAATACAGGATCCAATCTTATCAACTACTTTTTTCAACTATTAGTAATGCTTATTGCCATAGGTAAATCCACTTCAGTGGATTCTGTTCCCATTGTCAGAACCTTCACATGAGGATATTGAAATTCATGTAGAACTTGGCAGCTTTTGTTTCAGTACATCCATGTCAGCTAGTGCCTGTGTGAGGGGAAACTTCTTAGGTTGCTTGTCATGGTTTAACCCCAGCCAGCAGCGAAGTACCACACAGCCGCTCCGTCCCTCACTCCCTTTCTCTCCTTATCCAGTGTGATGGGAAGAATTGGAAAAATGTAGAATCCATGGGTTGAGATAAGAACAGTTTGATAATTGAAATAAAATATAACAACAATAAAACAATAATAGAAAAAAGTGAAAGAGGAGTAAAACCCAAGAAACCCAAGTGATGCACAGGTCAATTGCTCACCACCCGCGGACTGAAGCCCGGTCTGTCCCCAGGCAGTGCTCAGTGGCTCCCAGCCAGCTCCCCCCAGCTTATATCTTGAGGGATGATGTGCTGTGGTATGGAATATCCCTTTGGCTAGTTCAGGTCAGATGTCCTGTCTCTGTTCCCTCCCAGCTTCTTGTGCCCCTCCTCACTGACAAAACATGAGAGATGGAAAAGTCATTGACTTTTTACTAAGTAGTGTTTACTCTAACTAAAACATCAGTGTGTTAACATTATTCTCACACGAAACATAAAACACAGCACTGTACCAGCTACTAAGAAAGAATTAACTACCCTAGTTGAAATCAGGACAGTTGTTCTAATGATTGTTGTGATCTATCCAAACAAATACCTGTTTTCTAAACAAAATTTTGGGAATAAATTTTGCAGGATTAAACACTTTATTAACTTACCTCAGTTTTTTCAGGAAAGTAACCAAGTTTTTCATGTTGCTATAATAACAATTCTGCTAAAACTTTTTTATCTTACCTATATTTCAACTCTAGGGCTACCCAGGACCTCCAGGTGCCCCTGGACCTGTGGGGCCAGAAGGATTACCTGTAGGTATAGAGCGGTGCTTTGGTTTGACATAAGGTGTACCATTTTCAACTTGTCTTTTTGCCCTGTTGAAGCTAAGAATGGTTTCTAATATTTACTGCAGTCTGTAAAACTGGAATGAAAAGTTATTCATCCATAAACAAAGTCTGTTCATCTGCTCTTTACCAGGATGATCCATGAGGGACAGGAAAATTAGTTATATCATTTACTCATCTGCTTAAAAAAATCGCTCAGCTGAGATAAGTAGGAGAATAGAATTTTTTAAGGATAGTTTATAATCACACAACAATTTTCTTTTTAATTCCTTGATGCCTAATATGAGTTAAATATATTCATTATGTGTTTAGTTTCATTGTTAACCAAAAATAAATTGTATTCTAATCTGCTATTTATAATTGTGTTGTAATTTGGCTAATATGGCTCTTCAGACAAAAACCTAAATCTTCTGTCAGAACATATTAGGGTTTTTTTTAACATAATATTGCTGAAATGTAAGTATCCTTTAGTAATTTTGGGATGTTGGCCAGAAGTAATTTATCCAACAGTCATATCATGATTTTTTTAATTCAGAATAAAGTTACATAGAGTCTCTTATTTAGATTTTTCTATCCAAATTGTACTAACACAATTGATTGAATTTGAACCATGAGTGAAAGGATTGATTTGTACTGGTTGCACTGAGTGTTGGTCAGTGTGCATGAGCCTTGTAATTTTCAGAAATCTCTGTATAGAAGGAAATGAATAATAAGTTTATTTGATATGCAGGGACCTTCTGGGACAAGAGGACCACCAGGGCCACAGGGGCCTAAGGGAAGAAGAGTAAGTCATATCGCTGCTTCATGTTACTTAGAGCAGAGAGTAGTGTGTTGCCAGTATGAATTTGATGTGTGACCCGTGTACAGGTGCTTCCTTTGAGCTCTGTCGTCTGAACTTAAACCAGTACTAAAATCAGACAGATGAAACTTGTGTTTCCATGTAGAAACAATATGAATCTTCGTTTCTCCTCACATTACAGTTAAATGGGGTTTTGCCATTGATTTCAGCTGAGAACAGGGCCACAACCAGAAACACCACTAACCTTATTTTCTGTATACATAAACATGTAAATATCAGCATTTTAACTACCACTGGGCTGTTCCAATGTTTTAAGATTATTTTCTTTATCTGCCAATCACTTGTGCTTCCTGTCTGGAGTTCTTTTGGACATGTTTTTGCAGTCTGAGCTCAAGGTGCCTTGAGGAAGCACTGCCACTTCATAGTGCAGGTGGGTTTGGTTAGAGCATGAGCAAGTCTATTCTCACTGGTTTTATGGAGCTTGTTGAAAAGGGCAGTGAAGATTCACTGGTTTTATGGAGCTTGTTGAAAAGGGCAGTGAAGATGCACCCGTTTAACATCAGCCTTACCTAGCAGTTTTACAGCATATCCAGGCTTCCGATGAGACCTGTACAACTCATACCAGTGGCTGGGCCAGTGTGTCTTCAGAGCCAGTGTTGGCATCAGGTAGTGCTTACCACTTATTCCTGATGAATTCCCTGAATCCTCGTCAGTGAGGGGTTTTTTTTTTTTTTGGTTTCTTTCTGTCATAGAAAGCAGAAGCATTTGTTGCTACAGCAAAATATAATTATAGCCTTCCTTTATGCTCCTTTGTTATTGTGGTATGTATGTTTTTGAAGAAAATATGTGGTAAAATTTGAAAAGTTGAAAGATCTGGAGCTTTTACTCTAGTTAAAGAGAGATACTTGAGAAGCACACGTATTTTAAATAAGATTTTAGATTAGAAAACATTGGGATTAGCAAATTTAGTAATACAAACTTTATTAACTGTATGTTCTATACTATTTTTTCATGATTGCTAAACTGTTAAGAGATCGGATAAAAAGTTATATATTCAGTATATTCAAAATAATATATCTGAATATACTATATTTGAAACCGTATTTTGAATACCATGTATACTTGAAATATAGAATGCTTAGAAACTTGACAGTACACTACAGGATTATTCCTGAGAAAAACTTCACATGTTTCACATGAGTCTTCCTTCTTTAGTACAGTTTCCTCCTCTTCAGAAATCTGTTTTAATTTACCTGTTAGTTCATGGTGCAGTTTGTAGGAACAAGTTGTGAAATTTAGTATATGAAATGTATAATTTCTGTTAAAAATCTGCAGTAGTGATTCTGGGTTACCCTGTATTAGAGAGGTTTCCAGCTGGCAGTGGTTGGGGGGTTTTTTGTTGCGTAGTTTCAGACATAAAAGTACAATTTATCCCAGACTTCAGTTTGTTTAAATGGGTGAAGCAGATTTGAGCATACACTTCAGACAAGTACAAGGAGTTCTAAGTACCTGTCAGTAGGAATCTGGGTTTCAGGATTAAAGAAGTTCTCAGCAGCTCATAGAAAAGGACATGCCCACCATTATCATGGAAAATGGTTTGAATTTTTTCCTTACTGTAGATGCGCTTTTTAAAAGCCTATTTAAAAGGGTATATAAATGAAAATTCTTTCTGGGGAATTAATTTGCTATTTTTGTAATAGACAATTTAATAATGAGTTATCTGTTAAAAAAAAAAAAGACACAAAATCATATATGCTAAAAGAATATGCAGTATTACTTTGATAATTTTACATGCAGAAATAGCAAATGCTTCCGGCATCTCATGGATAACCTGCTTGTTTTCTGAACTGAATATGTCACACACATGTAATCTATCAGTGCCCAGAAAAATGAGTTCATTGAGGCCTGTTTGTCAGGCAAAACTGAAATGCAGGCATATTTGTTCATGCAACATAGCTAACAAAGTTCAAAGAGAAGCCTTAATTAGCTGCAGAGGGTGAGAATCCACCCCCAGAGATAAGCAGTGAACTAGCAAGAATTGGTATAAGCAGGAGCATCCAACCCTGGGCATCAGCAAGCAAAGAAGTAGTTCCTGAAGTGTTCAAGAGGTGCTTATAGAAATCTCTTCAGTGGAGAGAGGCTCTAGGGTCTCCTGGGAGCCCTGCGTTAGTAACTAAGGCAGCCTTCCGACATGAGTGTGATTTGTGCTTTGGTTCAGAGGAGCAAAGGGAAAAACAGCCTTTTTGCCTCACAGGCTAGCTTGAAAATGTAAATCAAACCAGAAATACAAAGCAGTTGCGAGGCTGAAAAGAGGTAGCAGCTTGGCAGCACTTTTTCTTCAGAAGCCTGACTCAATGAAACAGATGGTTGCTGTACCTCTCTGTGATTTCAGTAGGACCACATCTGAAAGTGGTATAAATGCTGAAGTGTTATGCTCAATCAGAACACACAAGCCAGTGACATCATCACATGAGGAGTACACATATGCCATCATTTTCACTGTAATATGCTGATGTTTGAGCTTCACCTAAAAAGTAAAATCCCTTCGGCCTTACTGGTCCACCAGTTTCAGTTTGACTGGTGGCCTGCAGGATGCTTCAAGTTAGGTGGCTAGCTCAAAAGTAATTTGGTAAAAATATTTGTCTCTAAGATTGATACTGGTTGCAGATTGTACATTTTAATTCATCTGAACATAGCATTCCTCTCTGAACTCCTCTGATTTTTCCCTCCTGTCAAGTCCATCTGCCAACATCACCAGAGCTGGAGTCAGAGCCAAGCTGCTGACATGAACATGAGTCCTCCCCTCTAGGCTCTCCTCCCTCCCAGCAGCATCTGCTACCTGGTGGTTGCTTTTGTGGGGGAATGACTTATTTTAATTTAGATTCTATTTTGAAGGTAGAAGATAGTTTTTATTTAAGCAGTGTCACATCTTCTGCCAACTGAGGAATCTTTGAGGGAGTCTGTCTCTATGATTTTGGCAGCACATCATGGAATACATCGCTTATAATTAAAGATCACTCAAAATAAATCCTGAACATCCCAACCTCTGTGGAAGACCTAGTTTGGTGCTGTGGTTTATGACTTTGCCTCCATCCAGCATGACTGGGAATGCTCACGAAAGAGGGTCTCGGAGCAGACCCAGCTTTTCGGTCTCTGTGAACAAACTCCCACTGAAGCCGCTGAGAATTTTGTCTGCTCTCAAGATCAAAATCTCAGACCCAAAGTGGAATCTCACATAAGGAAAATATCTGGGGGCCCTGAAAGCTGAAGTTTGTCATTACTGGATTCGGAAAGAGAAGTGTCAGAACCCTGAGCTCTGTGTGGCAGGCCGTGGAAAAATGCATACCACAGTCACATACAGAAGTTAAATAGAAGCATATGGAAATTCCCCTTTGCTCTGTACTGAAAAAAGAACATATCCCATCTTCACAGCTGGAATCTGCAGGAAGACTTAGGAGCACTAACCCTCTTCTGCACTGTCACAGAGTAGAATTCCTTTATCTCATAAATTCTGGACCTTTCAGCAACCGGTTCACGTCCAAGATTACCAGCAGTCAACTTCTGCCTGAGAGTATCCAGCTGCTCTGTCTCCAGTATACCCGGGAGTTCCGGCCAGCTGAAACCAGGCTGTCTAAGAGTCTGTGGAGTATCTCAGTGTCAGGGGATTCGGGGGGATGTGCCACTGACCGTAGTGCTAAAACAAAGCTTCCTCAGCTCATGCTCCAGACATGATAAGCTTCAGCTGGAGTCATGTGAAAGGTTGTATCCTTTCATGACCCATGCTTTATTGTTTAGTGTGAATCTCATGAAAGCACAAAGGGAGAACACTGCTTTGTAGATACTGCAATGGTAGAATGACAATCTGGGAGGTGGAAATACCTGTATCTAAGAGAAGGAATGTCTCTTTGTGACTAGAAGGAAGAAATACATTCGTCTGGAAGACATGCTGAAAGCAGTGAAAGCAACCATAAAGCCATTGTTACATATTTGATGTTTTAAAGCCCAGTAGCAATAATTTTTCTGTTCTTACTTACCTGGAATTCAGCTCATGAAATTCAGTCTTGAAAACGGAGATAAATGACATAGTGAAGTGCTATAAATTTAGGATCAAGCAACAGTGGCTTATGTCTGCAGCAGCCAATAGCGTTATCTCTGCTTCACTTCTGTCTGTACTGGCACGAAGAACCTCAGTTACCTAAGAACACTGCTTTAATGAGTGATATTTTTCATACTTCTAAAGGCAGAGAATATGGCACCTAGAAAAATGCATGCACTTCAGGGTTATGTGAAACAAGTAGCCAGTGTGCTTTGTGATACACCAGTAGCCAAGTGGGTTTATCTGTCTTAATTATTCAAAGGATGTGAGGCTAAAATTGATGTCATTTTCTCATATTCTTCTATGTCGACCACCAAACAAACAAAGTAGCTACATAGTGTGTTCATGTTATTTTCACTCTTCTTATATTTAGGAGGCAGGATGAAACAGAACAAAGAGTTAATTGGTGCTTTTTGCCTTCTTAGATGAACTTTTTCTCAGCTTAGCATCCTAGAGTTTTCAATGTAGTATGTTTCATTTTAGAAAGAAGGCTGATCCTGTGCGAAAGAAAAAAGTAGTAGCAATTGTTAGGCAGCCTTACTGCTCAGTTTGTTGCAACCTGAGTTAAGTAACAGCAGGCAAATCATGTGTATCTCTCATTCTGTGCTAGCTATCATAGGAAATTATACAGATCCAATTTATATGTGCCAACAGTGAGTTATATCATACTATTTATAGGAATGTTACGGTGTGCTTTTGTTAGAATATTTCCCTTGGATTCCTGTGCTCTGATCTGTGGCTGGCTTAAAGGTAGGCTAGAAGTAGGCACAGCACAGAGCCAGAAGCTGAGCGTCATGTTGGTTTGTTTCTTTGGTTTTAATTCAGAGTTATATTAGAAGGTTGGTGGTTTGAATGATAGGCCTTTTTGCTTCATTATTAGGGATCTAATCAGTTGTCATTCTCTTCCTAATGACTGGGCCATTCAAGTGGAGACCTATGTGACGAGCAGAAAAGTTTTGGTGTGTCATGTGCATAACACAGACTGAGAACCCTGTGCAGTCTCCTTACAGGACAATTTCTCAAACTATGGTCTATGACCCCCTTTGTGATTAAAAGGAAGTCGCAAGTGTTCAAAGAATTTATCTGTTGATATGATATATGTATTATATGTAAATACTCAGTCCTGGCTTAGACCAAAACAAGGAAGGTAGCCAGGCTAACTCAGGGATTGCCTCACAAAAACTGTGTCCCAAACTACTAAGGTATCAAAAGTATTCGGACAGCTTTCCCTGCCTGTTCACTTTCCTTTTCGTATGGTTTCTGTGTTCTCTCATGCTGGCCATAAGCAGCAGTGCATGAATGCTGACAGATCAACTTCTTGTGGGATATTTCTGGCTCTTCAGGGCCAGATTATTATATATCGGCTTACAGGAAAGGCCTTTTCTTGAGAGATTTCCGTTTTGGGAGAAAAGCCTAAATGATTCTGAATACACACAGTTCCTGAGTTAGCAGTCAGATACTTTCACTGTAGCTCCAGAGGGAAGCGTGTGGGTGCTCACCATCTGTTCTGACAGAGGTTTTGATGTGCCATCAATAAATCCAAGTCAGAACAGATTTTTGCTAAGTTTTGTCTCAGAAATTCAAGTGACGCAGAGAAGTCACATATTTTTGAGGGGAAGGTAATCTAAAGAAAATCGTATGTGCTTCTGACAAAGTAATTTTACAAACCCCTGTTATTACCTAGTAGAACAGTATTACAACTCTTTGGAAATCAGTCATGATTGCACGCCCTGCGTTATAAACCATGACCCAAGATGTAAGGTTCTCTACAATTCAGAAAAGCACTTGGAAAACGCAGTTTGTTTTCTTCTAGGCAGTGCCATAGCAGTGTGCTAGTTCCCTCTGATTCCAGCCCAGATGCCACCAGGAAAGTTATTGTGTCTCATTCTCCCACTAGATACAGCTGTAAAGAGCCTGGCTCTGTCTCGATACTTACCTAGCTTTTGCTTTAACGTAGTCTTTCATTTTACGTTCTTAACAACAGGTTTTCCGTTCCCAAACAGTCATGGTGTTTAGAAATACGGAAATAACCTCC